ACCACAAGAAAAAAACAAAGAAAAAAAAAAAAGGCGAAGCGCTGGGCCAGGGGGGGGGGGGGGGGGAATCACAACAGTTTTAGATGTAATGTTTTTCTAAAATAAGAGCCTGGGTGGGTGCTGTTTTCCAATACATCATGATGCACTGAATATTTATTACTCAACGTAAGAATAAAACACTGAAACTCCTGTAAGGAGGGATGCAATGAAATGGGTGCATAAGACGTTTTTCTTTTTACTGGAATTATAGCATTTACATACTGTTCAATTGTTCCAACCAGCAAGCAATGTAACTTAGATTGTTTCTCAGGACTGATGAACCGTTATCCACTTTTTCTTTTTTTTCTTTTTTTGTCTAATCTGAGCATGCTCTGTGAGGAACCTCACACACACGTCCGTCTACAGAGCCTTGCTAATATACATACACGCTCTTGGATTGGTTTCATATTTTGTCACGTTTCAATCACAAAATTCAAAGCTTTGTAATGCAGTTGTTTGTTGCAACAAAGTATTTTATTAATGTAGAAGGACTTTTTTTTCTTACAAATAAAACTCTAAAAAATGTGGTGTGCATTTGTATTCAAACTATCTGGGTCAATAATTTGTGTAACCACCATTTGTGTTTTTTGGGGTGTATCTTGGACATGTAGAGGTTAATATTTGTGCCCGTTCTTGTCCTCCAAATTGGACTTAATCCCGAATGTTGACATGTCGTTACAAACCAAGAACTTCTTCCATTAATCAAGTTTTTATTGGAGAAAAAAAAAAAAAATCTTGTGTTGGTCCATCACTTTTGGTAATTGTGATCGTAACGTGACAAACCGTGTGGGAAAGTTTCAACGGGGGTGCGAACGCGCTCACGTATATGTGTATGGGTACTGCAGTGCAATAACATGAATGCAAATTCAAATCTCTTGTCTGAGTAGGTGTTGCTGCGACACCTATGCATGCACAATTACCGCTGTACACATTCCTCAGAGTCTTGTGAGCAAACTGCAAACTAAAATGTGATTCCAAACCTTTCCTGATGTGCATCTGTCTCTGTAAGACGTCGCTCGGGCTCACTGTGGTGCAAAATGGCTCCGAAAGGTGCGGCTGCGGGGTTCGTCGCCAAAAATGTGTCGAAGAAGTGTTTATGTAAGACTTATGTAACACGATGTGGGTAGTGGGAGGCATGGAGAGAGCAAGACAGACACACAGATTGTGTGTGTCAGAGAGGAACGTGATTTGTATAAAGTCTGTACGTGAGTCACCGATACCTAAATGTCCAGGATCAGCGCACAGTGCATCGCTGAAGTAAATAAAGTGGAGAGAGAGAGAGACAGAGAGAGAGAGAGAGAGAAGTTTGAGTTGTTTAAAAGAGTAAAGTCTTATTTTGTTGTGAAATGTACACCACAGGCTTTTTCCTTTTTTGAAATATCTGTAACTTTGTGCCACTTCTATTGTTGTCTGTAGCTGAGATTCATTTTAATTAAAGATGTCACTTCCTGACTTGAAATATGGTTGTTCTGGTGTTTGAGTGAAGAAGCTTAGTGTGTTTTTGAACACAGCTCTGGTCAAAAGTTTGCATACACTCACTACTGGCATGAATGTCATTCACTTTAGGTCCCAAATGATACATTTGAACAGTTCCCTCTTTTGGGGTTGGAGTGACTTTTTTTTAACAAGAACTTGACGGAAAAGTTTGGGTTTGCATGTGGATTTCCTTTCATCCAATTTAATACCAACTTTGTTGTGTTTTTGAGGTTATCGGTTTGTGTCAACCATCTGTTTATTTTATATAAAACTTGAAGAATTTGGTTGCCATCCTACTTCCTTATCCTTATTCCATCTATTTTGTGCAATGGCCATTGTCACTGTCAACTAATAAAACCCCCAGCATGACTCTGCCACCACTATGCTCCACAGCTGATACAGTGTTCGTATAGTTTGAAAGTCTAAACTTTACTCAGAGATGTTTGAGGTCAAACGTCTCTCAATGTGTGGCTCATTTGACCGTGATGTTTTTCTCCATAAGAGAGATGGTCTTTAAAAATTAAAGTGGCAAATTTGAGTTAGTATAAAAACGTCATTTTGGCCTTTTTTTCACAGTTTGCAGCCCCTCAGGCCACGTTAAAATGAAACTTCCTTTGCTGTTTGTGATCAGTTTGTTTGCCGTGTTTGTTCCTGGGTTTTTCCTGAACATTTCAAACTCCTGGAAGTTTGGGTTAGGTGGTTGAAACTTAATGACAATTAGGTGCTCCTAGAGAGCAATGATCCCAAACAATCATCAAACTTGGTCTTAAATTTGATAAATTAGGATTTAATGAGCTATTGAAATGACGCAAAATTCTATTGAAGTCTGAGGCAATGAACATATCAACAAAAAGCACCTGATGTTCCTGCAGATCACTTCACAATATGTAGACAAGTATTGATGAAGGTGTACGTATATATTTGAACCTGATCGTATATTCCTGAGACCTTGTGGGGATTAAAGAAAGCTCAAGTATAATTTCAGAACTGCGCCCCAAAATTCATGTCCAGGGGTTTGTTTTATCATCATTTTGCTGCTAAGAAGAAACGCTTTGAATGCTTATCAAAATCCAAATATTACTGCATTAAAGCCCACAGTGAGGCTTTGCAAATTCCTGACCATAACTGTAGGAAAACATCAACATCCAGAGATTATCAGACAGATTTCTGGGTATCGCTGAAGTACCTTACCATTACGTGAAGCTGCACAGATCAGTGCAGCGAAAGAGAGAGAGAGAGAGAGAGAGAGAGAGAGAGAGATGTGGAGAGGACACCCACTGCGTGCTGCAGCCTTGCTGGTGTTTCTATTAATGCTGCGTGCGTGGGAGACGGGGTCGACTCTGCAAGTGTGCATGTAACAAGCGAACCTCACTCACACTTTTGCAGATATGCAGCAATAGAGGACGTGAGAATCATAAAGCTTTTGCTGCTTTTATTTCTCTGACTCACATCTTCCTTCATGCACACAAGAAGGTTCATCACGTGTATTTCTGCTTGTTAAAACGTACGCTGAATGAATTTTGAGTGTGTGTCCCTTTATATGCAGAGCCAAAACCCTCAAAAAATGCAGGTGCTTGCAGCGCTACTTTTGTAAATAAATAAATAAATAATTTCCAGACCTCCGGAGGCAGTCTTGGCAGATCTGGAGTTGGATGTGCGCTCGTCTCTGCGGGACGCAGCGCAGCGCTCTGTGTGGGCAGGTGTATGTGGGAGCAGAGAACAGATGAGGAGAGAAGTGGATGAAAAACGAGTTTCTTAAATCGGGGATGTGGGTGCGTTTAGCAGATCCTTTGCTGGAGTGGTTCTGAATGGTTTTTATTGATGTTATTGGACCTTTTCGGTTTGGACTTCCTGGGTTGCACGTGAACGGTCCTCTGGTGTTGGAGGATGTAGGCGTCAGGCTGTGGGCTTCGGTGAAAGGAGATCGCTGCGACGTCTCCACCGTTCCTCCTCTGATGCCATGGCAACTGCTGTGCCTCGCTGTTTTATTTATTTATTTGAATTGCTGTGTGAGGAGGGAGAACCTACCTGAATACCAACAGTGGTCAGGACAATCAGGAGGGCTGCGGAAAAAAAAACCTGTGTGCGTGTCACACGTTTACACTTTTGCTCTTTAGTCTTTTTATTCAGAATGAATAAACTTTATGTAGTAAAACACAAAGCAAAGAGTTAAGAGTTTATTTACAGCTGATGATATACCGGTAATATGTACAAGTAGCAACAATTACATTCAGAAATAAGAAAAAGTTTAAAGCACAACTTTTTTTGGACGTGTTAAATTTCTGTTCTTCTGAGAAAAATCACACAATTTGGTCCTGAAATTTTTTCAAAAAATTTCCATGAAATATTTTTGCTTTGTATACAAATGTACAAAATCAGTTAAAAAAACACACACACACATACACATACACACACACACATAATCATGTGATCTTGTTTAGCAACACAGAAAATTACACAGAAAACTGCCTAGTAGCACAGATTTTTTTTTTTTTTTTTTTCAATGAAAAATCATCTTCCATCAGTAGTTCAACAACATAGCAGCTTCTAACTTACCCATCATGTGTCTCTGTCTCTGTCCTCAGCCAAAAATGGTTTCAGACGACCCCCACCCCCTCCAACCTTTTCAGCCTCTAAAAAAGCGTCTCGGCGTCTTGTCCTTTTGTCTCTGTCTCCCTCCGCTGATGTCCCTGCGCTCCCTCCGTCTGTCTCCATCCTCACATCTTGACGTCTCGCCCGCTCTCTGCCTCTCCGAGCTGCTGTGTGAGGTTTATACATTGGCGGGAGCGGTGACAGCGCCGCTCCGTCCGTGTGCGTGAGCGTGTGTGTGTGTGTGTGTGTGTGTGTGTGTGAGCGTACGGCTGAGTGTCAGTTTTGCATGTGCATGTGTAGGATGAGGTGTCGTCTCCCTCGTATGCGTCACACATGCAGACACGCTTGCGGAGCGGGGTGGATGTTGCGTAAGGACTGAAGGCGAGCTAGGAGTTCAGTGGGAATTATATCAGGGTTTTCTCCGTCTTTCACACCTCACAGAGTGGGTGTTGTGGCTCAGCAGAGGGATGCTGCAGTGTGAGAGGATATACAGTGTGTGTATGTGTGTGCTTGTGTTAGAGAAAAGATGGAGTGAAACTGAGAATATAGCCGCCTCCATCTGTCCGGGACTTTTATGCTGACTTTTATATATACAAGTCAGCATACGAGTCTCTGAAAAGTTCAAGTTTTGCAAATTCTGGCAAGATCAGATATTTACTGAGTTGCATTTTTAATGAGTGAATTTCAAGTTCTGCATCTTTTACAGTGACTTTGGGAGACACTGGAGCTTTCCTTTCAATGAGTTAAATGTCTTTTTGCTTTGAGGGTCAAAATCTTCAATCTTCTAAAAGCGGTGTTTTAAAGAAATTAACAAAGCTACATAATTTTTTATATAAATGGAAAATGAAAATCATTGGGAATCTGAAATATAAAAAGGAAGCTGGCAGTTTGCCCTGTAAAAAAAGGCATAATATTTCCTAAATGTTTCGGGTTGTTTGTTTCCTGTTTCCTTGACTTAAAGTTTTTTTTTGTCTCTACTCAGCAGAAAACAGGAGCAGACACAGACATGTGTTTCTTTAAACATTGATGTATTTAATTAATGAATGGGATGGAGTCAGTGTTTCAGTAAAAGTCACTGCATCTTTCAGTCCTATTTACTGAAATCAAAATGACAGCAAAAATTATGGCCCATAAAAGACCAATGCTTTGTGTTGTGCCAAATATTTATCATTTAAGATTTTGTCAGTGAAAATTCCTACATTGCAGATTAGAAACAGTATCTACTCTGAACCGTAGACACCCGTACTAAACAACTTCATTCCATTCTTGAATTGCACTTGAAGGCCACACAAAATCATTGTGAGGGCCACAAATGGCCCATGTACCATACTTTGGACACCTTTTCCTTATTCAGCAATATGTTTCTCTGAAATATTATCATAAATAATTATAATAATTTACCTGTTGTGTGTTTTTCCTCTTACTGTGATAACAACAGAGACAAAAGGAAAGTTTTGCTGAAGTTTACTCCTTCTTGGACATCGTTTATTTGTAATAAATAGTTATTCCTCACCAAGTTTGATTTCTACTAAGTAAAAGAACTCAAAACAGATGCCATTTTTTTTTCTAAAATTGTATGTTTTATGTAAACGTATTTGAAGTTTAAGCTGCTTTGGAATATTCTTTAATGCATCTTTCTGTGGTTTGTCTTATTTAACTTTTGGTTGTTTCTTCCTTTGAGCCTAGATTTTTTTAAATTACAACATTAAACTGATTTGACTGTTCAAGTGTGAATTATCATACTCTACTTCCTACTTAGATATAAGGCAACTATTCACAGATAACAACTTCATTATCAGCTGTTATTTAAATAATGCTACACATTATGTTCCTCTAATCCCAGCTCGCTTTATTACTATAATATAATAAGCGTTAACATGCAGTTAAACTCTGCTAAACTGTATTGGTGCATTCAACTAAGAATATTGTATTACTTGCCTGACTTTGTCTCAGTAAATGTATTCAGTGTCTCGTTTATCACACAATCTGTACGTCTGCAAACAATCTGGGATTATAATCAACCCATGAGATTCACAGCCAAAGAATCTGAAAAGTGACCAAAAAAAGAGACATTTGACTCATTTACTGGTGATAGCTACAATGATTTCTCTGATCCGACCCAGATTTAGTTGATTTTTTTAAAGAACTCCTCAAACAGCTTGCTCCATATAATTGGAATAACGCTGTGATTGCTTATTGGTACTAATAAGCAATCACATTAAAAAGCACTCTGAAGCCATTTAGCACTTTGGAGAGAGCACAGCATGTAAAACGTAAATAAATGTCAAAGGATGAAACAGTAGCAGCAGAGAGGTAAATTGTTCTGGTGTTTATCCTTACCTTGATGGAAAGAAAGTCTGGAGGTGAATAGTCTGTTTTTTTCAAAAGAGTGAAAGACATTTTTCAGCACAATAATCAGCTGGTAAAAGAGAAGTTTTTTTGTTTTTTTTTACTTTACGGGAGATAACCTAGTCTACTGGTCAGTGCTCATACAGGTAATGCTGGTTTAACCCTTGTGCGTGCGAGGACTGTGGCAAATGATACAAGTTTTATGGGTGTGGGGTCGATTGGACCCCATTTGTAAACACAAGGGTTAAGAATGAAGAAAAAAGTCTCACCAAATTATGTTTTACACCTCTGTAGAAAAGCTCGCCCACTTTCAAACATATTCATGTTCATATCCCGCTCCACCTCATTTTGCGTATTCGTACCACGTACCACGAAGTTCAAGCTTTTCATTGCCTGCGATGCTTACGGCTGGCGTCCACAAGCAGCTAACATCGCCTAATTGAAAACACGCTCTGTACATGTCTGTGTTCTTCAGCCCGGCCATGACAAAACACTGGGAGGCTGAGCTGGAGGCACTAAAGGGGAACAACGCCAAGCTGACGGCGGCTCTGCTGGAATCCACGGCCAACGTCAAACAGTGGAAACAGCAACTGGCTGCCTACCAAGAGGAGGCAGAGAGACTACACAAACGGGTGAGCAAAGGGAGCGCGGGAGAGCGTGTTTGTTTTCATGTGTGATTAAATCATTCTGATCAAATAGGAGCACTCGTTTAGGAGGGACACTGTGAAGTCGAGATGAAAGCAAGAAACAGACAAGAGGGTGGGTGGTGGGGAGTAAAGAAAAAGGCATGCTGGGAGACAGATTGAGATCAGGAGCTTGGTGACTAACTCAAAATACCCATCTTATCCCTGCAGGTGACAGAGCTTGAGTGCCAGAGTAACCAAACCCCGGTGATCAAATCCCAAAAGACGGAACTCAACCAAACCATAGAGGAGCTGGAGAACGTGCTGCGGGACAAAGAAGAGGTGTGTTTCTGCAAGAGTAAAGAAGGCAGAAGTAGAAGCAAAGTTAACGTCACACATACATGTTTGTGCCCCTTCAGGAAATGGAGAAGTTAAAAGAAGAACTGGAAAACATGAATGACCTCATGGAGCAGAAAGACACTCTGACTCAGAAGCTTGAGGTAAACCTCTCTTCCCTTTGTCACATGCAGCACCTGGCAAAACTGTCCACACTTGTTGAACTTTTTCACATTTCGTCCGATAAGAACGATAAGATATTTTCCTATTTTGTGCGATAAACCAACACAAATTAGTGGATACCTGTAAAGAACGATTCTTCAGTTCTACCAATCTGTCTGTACTACTTTGAGTTGGTCTGTCACATAAAACCTCAGACTACTGGTTGTAACATCAGACACAATTGGATGTGGAAAATTTCAAGAGATGTAAATCATTTCATAAAGCACTGTGTCTTTAAAAGCAAACAGCTTCCTGTTGCACACACTCATGCTTGCGTGGCTCTCTGTGTGGGGACTTTCCATTGACTTCCATTCATTTCTACAGCCTAAAATTTACCCTTATCCTAACCCCATTACTATCCATTACATACCTAACCCTAAGCAAAACTCAATTCACACCTCTTAGTCCTAAATCTGACCCCTGTCCCAAAAACAGCGTTTCCCCTTGTAGGGACTAGGCTTCGGTCCCCACAAGGTGCAGTGGGTCCCCACAATGTAGTATGAATCAGTAAAAAGGTCCCCACAAGGTATTACAAACAAATGCACGCACACACACACATACACCGATAACTCGGTTTCGTCTTCTGCAGGAGACGGAGCTGCGCAGTCGGGTGCTGGAGGAGCAGCTAGCGGGAGCTGAGCAACGACTGGAGGAGAATCAGGAAGAGCAGGAGAATTTCAGGAAGAGCCTGCGGACGCTGCTGGAGCTGCTAGATGGCAAGATCTTTGAGCTGACGGAGCTCAGAGACACCTTGGCTCGTCTCATAGAGGAAGCCAGCTAGAGACAGAGGGTGCCAACCTTCACAGACAGAGCCATATGATGATTTATTTACAGCCCAACACACAGACCAATCCCACCCTCCATAACTCCTTGTGTACCCTCACCCACATACATCTGAGACAATGCACTGCCCACTCTTACAGTTTAAACACAAGGGGCAGCTGATCCCTGATTTTTACCTTGAAGGCATCAGGTTCCTACCTTCTGCAAGCACTCCTGTAGTTGAAGACGATGCAGGGACTACCTCAGCTTGCCTTCTGATTGGCTGTCGTACACTCGGTCAAACCGGTCAAGCTCAGTCCTAGAGATGCCACACATAAAAAAAACAAACTGTGCCTCGGCGCCATCTGCTGTCTGAATGGGAGAGCTGCGCCGTAGTGCGGAGCATTTACTCAAACACACACATTGCACATTACTCCTCTTTAAAGCGGCCCTCCAGGGAAAAATGTTGAAAGTCATGTGGAAATAATTGCTGTTAAGACTTAAAAGAACTGCGCCAAAGCTGCCAAATCCCCACCCCCCCAAAATGTTGTCCTCTAACTAGCAGATGCTTTGATCCAAAGTGACTTACTGTACAGGGAAGTTTTGAACAGAAGAACCCATGTTTGAGCCCGGGCTGCCGAGGAATGTAACCGGGTAACTGCTTTCGCATCGCTGAACCTCCCCAGCCTGGATTTACGAGGCTGCTGGGAAATGGAGTCTGACAAATATACATATATTTTTTTTTTCTTTTAGCAGAAATGAAGGATTTCTGTATGCCCCATGCCCCCTACCTCCATGTTACAAAAACCTATATGGCAGATAAGCAATGAATCTTCCAGATGGCCTTTTTTCATGCAACACAAAAATTTGAGTGCTATAGCTGAAATGAGAAATCTCGTATCCAGACAGCTTCCACTATCACAGTAGACATGACCTGTCTTCCTGCCAAACTCAGTGTGGTGTGTGTGTCCTGAGGTTTGATATGATCGTGTGCACTCGCATAGGTGCGTCTAAATAAATTGCATCAACAAAAAGTGATTTTAAACTAGTAAATCAATTTAAAAACTGGAATTTATTGTTATTTAGCTTGATTACACAGAGAATTATGTTTTTTGAAGTGTTTATTTATGCTACTTTGATGATTATGGCCTATAGCAAATGGGAATCTTAAAATTATGTTAGAATTATAATATTACATAAGACCAATGAAAAAGAATTTAAATACATAAACATGGGCCTACTGAAAATTTTGTCCATGTGCTACGTCTTATACGCATTCACTAATTGGTTGAGGGTTTCTTCTTTTTATTTGCAAAAATTATTGCATTAGAACGACGCGACATGGATGTAATCGGCCTGTAGATCTGCTGAGGTGTTAAGAAAGCTGAGGTTGCTTTAATGATGGCCTTCATTTTGCCTCACTTGTTTAAGTCTGGGATTGATAGATTCTCAGGTGGGTTTTGCTGACCAATTAAGCTCTCTGCAAAAGATCTGCAAAACATACTCAACCGCAACTGCAAAAGCAAAGCCAGAGAGAATTGTACAGCAATCTTAAAGCTTCACTCGGAAGAAATATTTTGTAGGATACCATATTTCAAGAGTTCTGCGTTCACTCCCCCAAACGTGCATATTGACTAAGTATTTAGACAGTTGGATAAATTCTTGAATAGGCTTTTTTTCCCACAATTCACAATTTGCGTTATTTTTGTACTCAAAAGTTTAACTTTCTGAGGTCCATGTGTAAAATGCAACATCCCCTGAAGTCGAATTTTTAACTAGTAAATTTGGAAGTTGCTGAGTGCATGATCGTGGGATCGTCTCCACGGCAACCTCAAGATCAGAAACTAATATGGCTGCTGCTGCACATCAAAAACAGAGCAACAGTTTTAATTGTAAAGCATTTACTTCCGCTCCTGATAGTTTGTGTCTCATTAAACCGTAGTAATGTGTAGTAATGTAGATGCTCATTTAGTGCTTGAACATATTTAACAACACATTATTTTCATCTTGCGAACTGTAGTTATCAACTAACGGCAAACACAAACTTGTGGCACCAAGCTCCAGCTCATGAGGCAAATATACAATGTACTATGCTTCTTTTCCTACCAAACATTTTCCTTCCACTCAACTTTTCATTAGAATTCTTGGGTACAGCCCTCTGAACAGCCAGCTTCTTCAGCAAACTGGCTTTCTCTCCTTGAGGAGGGTTCCCAATAGTACCTGCTGAGACTTCTACATTAAAAAACTTCTTTCTTTTATTGTCTTGTTGTATAACAATCCAAATTTCTGCAAAACAAAAAAAGTAATAATTTTGTATTGTTGCAAACTGTGAGCCATAATCATCAAAATTAGAAATAAATGCTTGAAACGTTTTGACCTTTTGATGAAACAAACAACTCTTCTCAGTGGTATGCTACTTTATTGAGATGAATCTGTACCTGGGCACGTTGTGCTGTTAGAGAGGCCTGCACACACACACCCTCACACCCACTCAAACACACACACACTGAGCAATATTAGACAGGCTCTATACAACACCAACTCTATCAGGTACTCTACTCAGTGGGCCCGACCTGAAGGGTCAAACATGATTAAGCTGATACACGCCCTCTCCAACAGAAAGTGTACTACTGACCGCATTACTGTGTGGCAGCCCTGCGTGATCCGAGTAGTGTAAACCGAAGGGCTTACAGAGCGTCATCCTCATGTCTGTAAATCTCCACCCTCAGTGAAACTGGCCACTGATTGTCACGCCTCACTGGTGACTCTTCAACCGTTCTCAGTTTATATTCTTTTTTTTTTTTTTTTTTTTTTTAAAAAAAAAGATAAAACACTGGTGATATAAATATAAAACTGTACAACACAACTTTCTTACTCTTGCTGGCATTGTAAATGAATGGATGGACAAATCAAAATGCAGTAACACCCTGCGGTGACTTATTGTTGTGTATTAACCCACGGCTGAAAGCTTTTTCTCTGTGTACTGGAAGATTTATAACACCATGTAATAACACCGTGTTACAAGTTTTATACTCTTACTGTATAAAAGCAGCTCTGAAGCCCCGTGAAATCTTCAATTCTCTCCCTCCAAAGTCAGCAATTTTTTTATTTTTTTTATTTTACAGAGCTGTATCTCGACAAGGTGCTGCAGGTCTTATATCTATCTGAGCGCCCTGTTTGCACTGTTATGACACCGTTGTAACTCCATTATATGCCGACAGACTTGCATTTAGCATTAGCACAGTATAATTATGTAGTTTAAAGACCTTCTGTAGTTAGTTACACAGGTTAATACACTGGAATAAGACTCATGTAAAAGGGGGAATGTTACTTATTTTCTGTCTGATGTATGTGTCGAGTGGAGTGACAGAGATGAAATACTTTAATATTAATGCTATTGTTAATGAATGCCTTTGTACAGTAGTGGATAAAATGCTTTTCATTCTCCTGTTTTTGTATCTTATGGTATTTCAGTGTAGGTATTAATATTGTATTTAGAGGTATGAGAAGACTGGCAATATTTTTGACTATTTAAAGTAATTTTGAACTCATGACATTAAAGAGGTACCTCAGGCTTAAGAGATTTCTCAGATTGGTGATATTTGGTCGTTTGCAGGTAAAGAGGTTTTGTTAAACGTTATGGTTGAAAACAGGTCAAGAGGCCCACCCGGTTAATTAAAGCTGTGACGATGTGGTCGATGCAGTTCGCTGCTCAGGGCAGCATTTTGTCCGGGGGCAGCATGAGCCCAGGATGAGGGGTTTGGGTTATCGCTCCGTTTCACCCCAAACAAGCTGAGGGTTTACACTGATGCCTGCCTGTCATGTTGTATTTAGCATCTGGTTCCCATTCGGAGCTAAGTTAAAGGAGTTTCACATTTAGAGTTACTTGAACCGATCAAACCTGAACAGCGCATGAGTGACAACTTTTTTTCATGGCAGATGCAACATGTATCTCTGTATAGCTAGCTTTGCTAGCATCACGTCCACAGATCTTACCTTTCTTTAAGCTTTCCTTCGAAGTGACGCTAAAAGTTGGACGAAATCCCCACCATCTGTGAAAGCGAAGCGCTGCTGATTTTACATGTCGCCATATCTTATGATTTATGCAGCACTATTATATAACTGACGATCAGACAGACATCTTCTCCCGCTCAGAGGAAACCACTGCGCATGTCTGGAGCTCCGCGTGTGAGTTTTTTATGGGATAACTGCGATTAATTTAAACAGAATGACTCCAAGTACCAGTAATATTTTGAGATGTGTTTTTCTTGTCATTAGGTTGACATTAGGTATTTTGAAAACTAGTAACAAAAACTATCCAGCCTGTTTATGCAAATATTTTATATTTTTCTTTATTTCAGTGGCCAAAAATAAAATGGTGTTTAAAAACAAAATAAAACAGCAACAAAAAAAAATAATATTAGATATTTATCAAAAAATTTTTGGTTGTGTTTTTATTAAAAGAGCAGGTAACATTTGCATTTCTAATCAAGTGTAATTTTGCTGGAGTGAGGAAAAAAATGTCTCTGTGGATTGTAAGGGTTTGCAGACCCTGATCTAAATCACACCATCATTGCTCTGGCTGCTTGTTACGTGTTGCTGCCCTACAGTCTCAGAGGCTTTGTAGCTTCCATGACCGTGATCAAGAAAAGCATCTCCACAGCATGATGCTACCACCACCATGTGTGGGTAGTGTGTCATGTGCAATGTTAGTTTTTTCCCCAGGCCTACACAGAAGAACCAGATTTATACTAAATTACATGAAGGTGGATTGTGATTAGCTGAGGTTTTTATATGCAAATAATGTTGACAGCCAGGTTGACTTTTCCTTCCACTTCACAGTTCTGCACTGCTTTGGGTTTGTCAATCAGACAGCGTACATTAAAATGTTCTTCAGTTGAAGAATGCATTCATTGAATTGTTCCAAAATATGAACAATTTAAGGGAGCGTGAATATTTATGCAAGGCTCAGTAAACGATTCAACACCGTCTTTGCTGCTTTACAAGGATTTATTCCAATGCAAGGGTGAGAATGTAAAATAAGAATAAAAAAGAAAGACTTGAAAACATGAAAATTACATGACAAAAAAAGGCAAAAAGGTACATTTGGAACAATTTGTGAACACTTCATAAGGTGTAATAGCAACCGAGAGATTTACCAAGTCATTTTTAAGACAATCAATCTAATTATCAACCGTACAATTTTTTTTCCATCCCTTTTTTTTCTTCCATATTGTTATATTGCACATCTTCTCAAAGGAACAACAAGGGATCACACGCAGCCTGGCTGGATAACAGGTGCTAACAGAAGATATTCGTAAGAAAAGCAATCACAAAAACAATTTGGCTGGAAACAATTTAAGCAAAAAAAAAAAAAAAAAAAAAACAGTCTGCTGATAAAGAAGCTGTTTTAAGGTTAGTTACGGGTGAAGGTAAGTGACAGGAACATTAGTTGAGGCAAGTTACGGACGCCGACGCCTTCCGGGGCAACTTTCTCCACGGTTAAAGCAACGTAAATATTAAGACTCACATGGGAAAAATATATGCTTCCATTATTACGTCTGGTAAGATTTAACTGAAGCTAAGGATAAAGACTCAGGACGGGGATTAGAGCTTTGTCTCATGCTACATGATAAGGGTGGAAGAACATAGTATTCACAGCTAAAACAGAGATGTAGCCGTTCTTCAAGTTTGCTTAGCCAGGAAAGTAACAGGAACAGATGGTGCCTCATGTAACGTATGTCTGATTGGCTCCACAGGTGAGAGACTGATGGAAAAGTCCCTCAAGACGGAGGGTTAATGTCCAGAGACGGGGCTGTTCACCACACCATTAAGTTCACTTCAACTTAACGGTGAAGTGAACAGCCAATACTGTCCAAAGTGACATCACTCTAGACAGTATTGTCGTCTCAAAAGATTTCGAGCCTCGACAATTAAGCTGGACTACATAAAAACAACTGTGATGAATAAAAAGTGGACTTAACACACCTGCAATGTACCCAGAAAAGTCCTGAATAACTTGGGCTACTTTTTTTTAATTTACTATTATCTGAATTTATTAACAAATGCATTTTAAAAGAGAAAGGGTAATACGTTGCATCAGAGCTGTTCAACACAGTGCAAAATGGAGTTATTCCAGTGTTTGAGCTTACATGTGTGAATCCACGTCCTTCTGCTTCGAGTCACGTTTGTGAGTCGTATTGTGCTGCTCGGCGTCTGAGTAATGATTTCACACATATCAGGGTCTGATTCCAAAAGCTGCTTGGTGTTTTTAAACTAACAATGCAACATATGCCTCAGCGTTTATTGAAACCAGAAAACTTTTATCGTACGCAAAAGGGTTGAAACCATCTCTGAGAAACAAGTTGCTGCTGGAATATCTTTACACACACAGTGGCTGTGAAATAGATGTCTGTGTGCGTGTGTATGTTTTCACGTCTAAGAGTAATAACCCCCCTGTCTCTGCGCTACTGCCTACAAAGTGAGAGGAAAGAGGAGATGTGATGAAGGAGCAGAGAGTAAATGAATAAGAGAGCAGGAGGAAGAGCATAAATCATGAGCCCACGGTGAGGCAATCTGGCCTCCCACTGAACATTCGTCACTGGAAGACGAGTAACTGGTTCAGCTTCTACAATCCCACACACACGCACGCACACACACACACACACACACACACACACACACACACACACACACACACACACACACGCACACACACACACAAAGTTTGGGAATCACCAGCAGAAATGTTCACTTCTCAACACAGAGAACACGTCCACTAATCAGGACCCTCGTCATCTTCAGTCGTTTCCTTCTCAAAGTTAACAGCCTCAGATCTGAACAGTAAAACAGTAAAACTCACTGGTGAGAAGTCCAGAGTGGAATACTAGAGGAAAATCTGACGTTGCCAACAAAATCATTTTAATTACGAAAGCAGCAGCAGCAGTCGTCGAACAGCCTGACAATCCCTCAGCAGAGAACCAGGCTCAGCCGAAGCGGTTTGCTGATGCTGACTAAAGACTGCTGGGCTGTTTTCTTTACCCCGGATGCTGAGTTTGTGCTGTTGGGACTGAAGCCGGATCGTTTTTAACCGAACACGCGACCCACTCCGCTAGGTTAGAAGGAGCCTCACTGTTTTTCTTGTTCGACCTGAACAAACTTCCCTGAGTCTCTTCTGCAGAATAAAGTAAGAAATGGCGAGATGGTGAATGCATGATTTACGCTGCATAACAATGTTAACGTCAGTGGGTTGTGTTGATGACTTCCACTCACATAGGGCAGCAGTTCACAGAATCTTTAGCTTTTAACCCAGAAAGTAACAGCAGAAGAGATCATTGACACAGACTGTTTGTTACGCCTCAGTCAGTAAAACGTTACACCAGAGAGCTTGTTAACTTGAGATAAACTTTGTTCCTGAGTATTTAGCAGGGGATATAACATGGAAAATATAATAGAAAGGAGACATTTTATGTACTGACTATAGATTTGGTTTATCCAAACTTAACTGATTGTCAATCAAGTGTCCTTTGACGTTATAGGGTTGGATTTTTATTGTTGACAGGCACCAGCGGTTGTGAAAGAACCGCCAAAGTCCTTTTTATTCAGACTTAAATTGTTTAATAATCTAGTTTACTGTTTATTCTTTTCAATCCGCTCTTTGGTAGCAACATTCACAGCCCTGTTAATCCTAACCCAGTATGTCGCGACTAACCCACAACCCAGGACCGGTTCAGCAAAATAAGATGAGCCGATTTTCACCCAGCAGCTTTTAGAGTGTCCAAAAACAAAAAAAAGAAAGTGATGTTTGATGGAGTAATGGTTTCCAATCTGGACAGTAAATCCAGTAATCCCAGTCTGAGTCTTTGTCTAATCATGTATTCATTTTTGAAATCTCCTGTAAAGCCCCCAGATTACCCTGCGCACTCCTAACATATTTTTTCCTGCACTCGCTGCCTCTCGTTCACGAAGCTCCCTGCATGAACACAGCAATAAACCCCCCCTCAGTTCTGTGAACGTCCCGTACGCAGCGTGTCAGTCAGTTCAGTGGGTTGGTGTCAAGTGCAGACGTCTGACAGTACAAGTGATAGAAACATGAAAAAAAAAAACAAACCTGGCAACCGTTCAGTGTGATTCGACTGGTAAAAACCATAAAAACAAGACCATCCCCGTCATGATGGCGAATGTTGTGTAAAAATCCAAAGTAAAGCTGATCGTAGGCCTCTGGAGCATTTGGTGACGGCGGCTGTGACCCTGGTGTTGGCTTAATCGCCAGGTGATGAGTGAACGTGTGTGTTTACAGTACGACGCTGAACTCTACAGTGCAGAACAGTCTGAGTGTTGTCTTGTGTGCAGTTTTCTGTGGCCGTCTTATCTGAACCCTAGTTTTCCCAGTCGGGGGCCGTCAGTCCGTCGTCGTCCGAGTCAGACTCTGGCGACGCCTCCTTGATGCGGCGCAGCGCCTCGTGGATGCTCCTGGTCAGCGGATCGGTGGATGCGGGGAGCTCTCCCTGGTCCTTTCTGTCCTTCGAGGGGACGCGTCTGAGTTTGACCCCCTTGCGTATCTGAGCCAGGATGCTGTTGGGGTCGTCGTCGCCCTTGACAGGAGGCAGAGAGCGCTGGTCGACCTTCTTCAGGTGGAAGCTTCCCCTCTTTAGTGATGCGAGCACTTCGTCCATAGGTGAGCTCACTGAGGGCAGAAAAGACGCAACATGGCTGATTAGTGAACTTGGAGACGCACTTGGTGAGCAGATTCAGAAAACGTTAAGCTTGACTCGCTTGACACGCTGGATTCAGAAATGTTGTTTGGAAATCTCAAAGATCTGACACCCTGTATGGAAAATACAGAAAGTGTCCTGTTTTATTTGGCACAAATCGCTAAAACGAGATGCTAAAAAAACGTATCTCCTCCTATTAATGATCACTCACAGCTGGAAAGCAAGAGAAAACATTTTTTAGATATTCGTGTATTACAGACATAAATATGATTGGTAGTTAGAGAGCTTTCAGACTCCAACTTGACCATTACCTCTTCTGCTGTGGGAGTCAAACTCTGGAGTCTTCCTCAGTTTCTTGCGCGCGCTCACCAGCTGGCTGCTGTCAAAAAAGCGAGGGATGAACGGACCGAGTGGCGACAGCATGAGCTCCTCCTCCACGCTCCTCCCTTCAGCGATTTGGCGATATTGACCCACGCTGCCGGACGGAGAGGACTCCTCCTTCACTGGTGGTGGAGGCGGCGGGGGCGGCGGTGGAGGAGGGGAGACAGGGGACGCCAGCAGAGAGGAGAGGGAGCAGGGGGAGCAGGACGAATCTGCGGGGCTGGTGACAGGCAGAGGAGGGACGGGCGCCGTGAGAGTCGCAACGGGCTGAGTGGTGAGGGTGGCGCTGGGCTCCGTCTGCACGCCGGTGCTCAGGCACAGCGGCTGGTCCTGAGTCTGGACGCTGACCGAGTCCACGCATTCGTCCCTCCCGCTGACGCTGCCGAGCTCGGCGGCTGCTCTGCCTCGCTCCCTCCGTCTGCCGTGGGACGCTCGAAGACGAGTGGACTTCAGAATCACCTGGCCCGGGTACCGCTGGGCAGAGCCGCAAACAGGTAGAGCTCGGTAAGAAAAGCACTGATGAAAAGCAGCCTGTAGATGAAGGTGTGAGTACCTGTTTGAAGGAGCGCAGCCTGTCCAGAGTCCGTTGCCTCTCCTGACTTACTCTGCTGTTCTTCAGCTCTTCATCTTCCTCCTCCTCGTTTCCAAGCTGGGATATTTTGAGGATTAGAAAATGTCTGGGCTACTGATGATGTAGACAATGTGACACTTTAAAAAAATGTATTTCATAAATTGTTCAAATCTTTTTACAATTGCAAACAAGAATATTACATAGATCTGTTTTTCTGTGTATTCTTTAGCCCCTGCCCGAAAACCTGACTGAGATGTGTCCCTTAAACATCAACCAGCTTTAACAGGAGGAAATCAAACTGGATATCAGGGCTTCATGACTGATAAAAACACATAGTCATCTTGGTTAACAGTGAAGTCAGGATTAATTAACACTCTAGAGTTTAGAAACATGTTGCACTTCACAAGAAAATATGAGTTTACTCGCCAAAGAAAATGTGGACAATAATTTAAACAAAAGAAACTGCTTCTTGTTGTTGATTTTTGTGATTCTTTGGGACCTAAATAAAATTTTAGATGTGTATTAGCTTATTTAAACAGACTCAAATTACAAACATGTGTGGCTAATTAGCGACTGACCAAATAGTTTGCTCCAAAAGTGCTAAATAACTCTAAGAGGGTTGTACCTGTAAGACAGGGTGGGAGAATGTGTCCTTCAGGACGGTGTGGCGTCTCTGCTGTTTCTGGGTGTGGTTGGATACACAGATTTCCTGCAGAAAGACGGCAATGAACTGGTCCAAATTAAAACATCTACACAAATAAGGTAAAGACTGATTGAGTCGTTCTTCATTTTCTGCAATTTAAAACATAAAGTGATACTGGTTTGAGTAAGATCTGCATAGTGGAAGCCGATGTAAGCTAACAGATGTGGAGTTCAAGGTTCACTTCATGAATTAAAAAGAAGAGAGTTTCAGGAATACACACCCTTTTGTTGCGCAGGTAGGAGCGCTTGGTGGTGATGCGCCCCCTTCTGGCTTCAAGCTGTCGAGCGCTGACCTGCAGTCTGCGCAGCTCTTCTTTCTCTCCAGTATCGTCCTGCGTTATATCGTCTGCGCTTTCAAAGGTGTCATAATAAACCACCTCATCCTGGCGCTCTGGAAGCACACACACACACACACACACACACACACACACAGCACAAGCATAGTCATATCTGGACAGAAATGAAATGTGTTTTACAAAATGTTTCGTCCATTTTGTTTTACTATATCTGCAGACAAATTTGATGTAAGCAACACAAAAGTTTCAGGTGAAAGACCAACACAGGAAGGAAATTTGAGTTTGTAACATAAGATGTGACAACATTTAAGGGTATAAAACATTTCTCATGGTCAAATACGACTAGTCTGATTTTAATATTTATAAGCATTAACGGTGATCATTTTCAAGCCCATTCAGGCATTGGCTATGCCTGAATGTGTTAATTTATTCATGAACAAAATCTCCATTCAGTTCTATACTTCCCACTTTTTTAAGTTTAGAACTAAATAAAACCAAACTTATTTTAGAGTTTTAAAATAATTCTGTGTTTAATAATGTGGGTTAAAAAAAGGGAAAATAATTTAGTTCAACAATCATTAAAACTCGAATACTGAACTGTTATTTTTGCATACCGCTTAAACTTTTATTATTATTATTATTGCCATCTTTATTATTATTATTCACTGCCGATTGACATGCCGTCCACCTGGGCTAATCTGCAAGTATCATATCAAAGAATTTTTACTTTTAATGTAAATTGAATATTTCAGTGTTTCAGGATTTGAAATATGTGGCTCATTTTAGTCATTTTGTGGTGAAATACAAACTGTTAAGGAAAAAAAAAAACAACAAGTTTTATATTTGACTCATTAGAAACGTTTTTCTGACTTTCTGTCAGCACATTAGCTGGTAATTAAATCTTGTTTCACAAGTAAAACAACAAAAAATCAAATCTAGTAATCATACCTGCCATCTGTCTGCGGATGCTGTCGAGTTGTGCAGTGAGCAGCAGCTCCTCACACTGCAGTATCTCAGCCTGAATGTCATACAGCTGGAGCTGGAGCTCGTAGTACCGTGTCTCCATGTGGTCCAGGAGGGCCATCGCATCCTCACCGCTACACAGGCTCTGCATCTAGAGGAGACGGGTGAACATTTTAAAAGTCGACAACGCGTCTAGATGAACGCGTTTCGTCTCACGCGGAGCTGACCGCAGCACACCTCCTCTCGAAGTGTGTGCTTCCTCTGCTCCAGACAGATCTCCCGGGCCCTCTGAAGCTGCAGGGTTTCCTTGGCCACAGAGTAGCGCAGCCTCTCCATGCGCTCCACCGCCGCCGTCCAAGAGGACTTCCCAAATTTTCGCTGATCCACCTTCATTCTCTCATAAACTCCTGCGCAGAAAAAGGAAACAGAGATAGGGCAGAAACTTTTAAAGAGTTTAACATGATGCTCATGTGAATGAAGCCAGAGAGCAGACGAGTCAGCTTTTATTACTGGAGTTAAATAATGTCTTAAGAGTGTTTCATGCTTGACAAAAGAGAGACATCTATTGGCCACATTTGGTAATTATTGTCTTCTTGTAGGTCGAAGCCTGTATCTTAAAGAATATTGAAAATACAGAGATAATACAGAACATATGTGAATGTGAAATTACAGACTGGATCAACAAGTGTCCTCCTGATTCTTCTCACTGCATGTCTGTCTGAAACGCCTCGTATTACCTTTCTGGGCTCTGGCAGTGATCTCAAAGTATTTTACAGTGAACTCCTGGATGTTGAGGACTGCCTCTTGAGCTTTCTTCTGCCAGTCAGTGTCCTCCTTCTTCAGTGCCTCAATCCGCCTGGGACCCAAGTAGTCATTGTCCATGGAAATCTAATGAAAGAGGTTTAACATATTTATCCCCCTCAGTGAAAGATTGAAAAATGTATTCAGTGAAAAAAAAAAATCAAACATTAAGCTGCCATGCTAAGATATTTTTCGAAAATAACTTTTTGACTGTGTAGATAAAAGATAAAGCGCTACAGAACTCATATTAAAAATATTACCTGAAATTTTTATTGTAACCAAAAGAAGTAAAGTAATATATCAACAGCACAATTATAAGACAGTCAAATTTGCCTTCGGAGAACAAAACTGAGTGAAAAAACATGGTTCAATGATAACAATATTAATCAGTCCAATAGCTTAAAACTGACATTCAAGTTATGCAGCTGTGTAGGTGAAAAAAAAAACAACTAATGAAATTAAAAAGAAAAATCTACTTTAAAAGAAGTTTATTTAACACCAGACGGAGATTAGCTCAACAGAGTCACATTCATCCCAGTTTGGATATTTGAGTAAAAAAAAAAATTCAACTTGAAACAAAGCCATTAGGTTTTCCTGTTTTCTTAAACAAAAAGTTTCCACCACCTCTTGATTTTATTCAAAATCCACTTGGACTGCGATGAATTGGTTTTATAAAATAACTTTATTATTTCACTTTTAATCTCTTAAGAGGCTGGAAAGATAAAAAAAAATTAAAATCTGTGGATATTGTTGCTATTAATCCTTAAGAGTTTCTGCAGAGTTTTGATGTTGCTAGTCTCTTCAGTTCAACCACAACATTTTGAACAAAATTCAAAATGTGATTCAAAAATTTTTGCTTCTGCTAAAGCCTAATAAGTTGCTAATAGGCTTTGCTCAGCATAACGCCTCCAATATTAACACATCTCTGAATAGTAACACTTAGAAACAAATGCACATTTATTTAACAGAAGGATATTACCACATCTATCACAAGTATTAATGTCAGGGTCACATATTAAATCTGTCTCACTTCCTAGAGCTGTGTCCCATCAGGTCTACTGGCATCTGAGCAATCTGCAGGAATGTCTTGAGATATTGCACACCTGTGTACATTACTAAAAGACAAATTACAAAAAGCAATACAAAGAATTAGCAGCTTCAAAATGAGAAGCTGGTATTGATGTATTACTTATATTTCCTGTGCTAAGCTACATGGCTCTGAGGTGCAATCAACTGCAGACTACAATCTAAATTCATGGTTTGAATGAAAAAAAAAAAAAACACTTGGCTTAAACTTTACATTTAAATGGGGAAGAGCAGAAAAAAAACGAATGTATTTTAAAATTGTGTTGAAAATTTACAAAAGAAAGATGTTGACTCATCCTCATGTTGGTGGAATTTGGGGTGTTTCATTACATTAACAAAGGGGTGAATTGCTACTGAGTCAACTTCAGTAGACACCAGGAAGGCTGAGTGCAGTACAGCAAGTTGCCCTGGTTTATCCCCTTTCAGTTCTCAAGATGCTGGATTTGGCAGTTTTATGAAAAATCTCACAAGCTAAGGATCTATTTTAAAGGAACACAAAAAGAGGCTAATGTTTACCATTTGTAATGCTAATTATGCTAACAAGTGAAGCATCAACTTAGAAAACTAAAATATATATTACATTTTACTAATAAGTCATATTTCAAACACTCTGGATGAGCTCCACGTTTTGGTTGTTGGAACGCCTCCCTGCCATCGCCCAAATCTTTATCTCCCTTGACAGATTGTCTATCCGATTCAAGCCAAGGGTATGAATAACTTTGGGCTTAACTTTAGCCTGACGCCTGTACAGTAATTGAAATGTAAGAGGAAATGCTCCAAAAAGGTGTTTCAGTAAAAGCCTAAACATGCTCACACACACTGGGATATAAATAAACCCTGAAGTACGACCCTCACTCAAAGCTCCCCTCCCCCAGGAGGGGTTCCATGGTGTAATGGTTAGCACTCTGGACTCTGAATCCAGCGATCCGAGTTCAAATCTCGGTGGGACCTTCATATTTTGTGACCTTTGTAAAGATCTGTTCACTGCAGTGAAAAAACAGTGTAACATCATCAAGGAGGTAGAAAGGACGAGCGTTGGTCAGTGAAAACAGCTCACTAGTAAAGAAGTGTTTCCTATAGACAAATACACAGCTGAATTTTATCTTTGGCCAGCTACATGAATGCTAATCAGAAGTCTGTTGTGAGAATCTCTTCTTGTTCATCTTGGATGAAGCAATCCTTCATATGAGTTAAATATGTTAAAATTCTCAAATTTGACTAGAAAAAAAAAGCTACACTATATCGCTCTAAGGTGCTGGAAATAAACAAGACCTTAACTGGAAGCTTAACGTTGCTCTTCATCTTTTCATTTCCAACACATTTTCACTGAGGTCAGCATAAAGCTGAACCTGCAGTAAGCCCATAGGATCAAACACGACTTATTTATGTTTCTCTGCGACTATAAGAAACTGGAGAGCCACTTCAGCATGTCACCGAAGCCACATCCTGTTACTCTTCCTAATACAGTGCAAAAATGGACTAACCTCAAAGCAATGTTGCAGAATGGATGGATGATTTATTGAAGGTATTGTAGTGGAAATTGAGTGTTATGTCTACAATCATGTGATGTGGGAGTAAAAGATATGAATCGAAGAAGAATACGACCACAAACATCTACGCATATTATTGAGATTTTGCATGAACGGGCAACACAAGACAGTGTGTAGTTCTGACCTGGAAAGAAAATGATGCATGGTTTTCAGTTTTTGACAAATAACCTGTGCATTCAGAGCCCTTAATGTGTCACTCCTAAATAAAACTCTTAAGCTCTCAGCGTTTAATCAGTTTACAGGGTTCACATGAGCGTATTTACTTCTTCGTACAAGTTCAGTTGTACAGTGAAACCCAGCAGAGATTTGTTAGAGATCCTTAGGGAACAAACAGCAACAAACTGGCCACAGATCAAGTTTAAGACGCCGTTAGATTATAAAACATGTCCAGGTTTGAACATCTCACAGAGCACAGTTTAGTCCATCGTCTGTAAAAGGAAAGTATGTCAACTCTAAGCGTGCTGCTAACGCTTATCTAAACCGACAGGACAAGCAAGAAGGACAATTCAGGCAGCAAGCAGGGGAGAGTGGCAAGAAGAATCCCTTTGTTTGAAAGAAAGTCACATAGGTTACACAGCAAATACATGCAATAAACTGCTCTGGTCAGATAACACTGGACAACAATCAAAACTAACATTGCGCTTCAGCCTGGGTAACGTCACCTCCACAGCGACTCAAGGTAGTGGTAGTATGATGCTGTGGGAAAGCTTTTAACATGTACGCAATACAGCGCCTCAACACATTCTGCACCACACTAGCTTTGTTTTTAGCATTTCTTCTCATCGCCACTTTGAGATTAAATTAGGCTGCAACAATCCAAAGCAGAAAAGTTGCAAAAGTACATAAATAAATAAACAAACAAACAGGATCCCAGTTGTTAAAGTTCACCTTTATCTGCTGTCTGCGCAGCATTGCTAGTTCCCTCATGTCCCTGAAGGGCTGCAGCAGGTACTGGTACAGCTGTGTGGAAGCGTCCAGCAGGCCTCCGTAGGCCTGGTCTTCTTCTTCATATAACTCCAGCAGCTCCACCATGCTGTCCATGGATTTGTGCTTGTCAAGCAGCTGCATCAAAAACAGTGTTTTACTCATTAGTAACTATGTGCGTTACTTGTGCAGTACCAGGCATACAATGGGCAATTCAAAGTGCTTTACATGAAAACTCAAACAGAGATTTAGAATAAACCAAACATCTATTGCTCAGTTGAAGAGAGGAACCTTAAAACCGTTGATTAAATCACTCAATTTCATTAAATTGAAAAGCTAAGACATGACAGGAATGATTAAGCACTCTTTGACCTTCAGGGGTAAACAGTAATGCTTCTGTGATGCAAACAGCTTCCCATTGTTTAGTTCAGCTCCAGGGTGAATGGGTCCCTGGGTGGCTCTGCATGTTTCATATCTGACCAGCAACTTTGACATGCATTCAGATACAAGACCATTCAAGTCCTGAGAGAACAAATATAATATCTTAAATTCTGTCCTTTACAAAGAAAAGGTCAGTGCAGTGATTCGACGACTGGTGGAACGTGATCCCTTTTCTCGGTCTGAGAAAATGGATCAAAGTCGTGATACTAAATCCTTGATTCTGCAAATGTTAGGTAGTTGTTGGCTAAATTTACTTCTGGATTTTATTTATGTTGCAGTTGTTAAAGTTTATGTCTGTCACATGTTAACAGCTGGGTGTATTTGCTTGATTTAAGTGCCTTTTGACTGAATGGCATGGAGGGCAAACATAAATACAACGTAGTGTAGTTGCAGTTCTATTCAGTTTAAGTCTGTTTGTCCATATTGTGGCTATGCAGCAAAATTCAGTTCAAAATGTCAGTTGGTCAAGGTTTGTAGCACTTTTTTTCCAAATCCTATGATCAACTGTGTGCAGAAAGAATGACTATATAACATATTCAAAGGACAGTCGGCTCTAATTGACATGCATTTAACTTCACTGTGAAGCTTCTCTGTAGCTGTAAATAATAGAAGTCTTTTAATACAGAGTAAAAGGCTCAATAAGCAAAGTCATATCTGGAGCTGCTGGGAAAAAAAAAAAAAAAGATCAATGCACGCACACACACATTTGTAAGGCTGAACAGGCCTGCTGGTTACCAGCAACACTAAAACATCCATTAACTTGGCCCTCAAATGGAGTGAGGGGATCAATAATCCAGTGTGTGTGTGTGTGTGTGTGCGTGTGAAACACGGCTATACGGCAACCAGCTATACTGTGTGGATGAGCTGCAGGGGACTGACGACCTGATCACAACCTGTCAGTCAATAACTGACTAAATCTGCTGCTTTATCTGTTTTTTTTTTTGTTTGTTTGTTATTTTTTTATTATTTTTCTACGTCACAGTGTCTAAGCTGACTGGGTGAAACGACGTGGATCGCATCTTAATGCCTGTTTTTCGATGCCAAAAGTAGAGCAGAAAGAAAATGCCCTTGATGAGCACATTAGCATACTTTCATAAATATGCACTTTTCTTTAGCAACAGCTGCATGACACAAGGAGAAGAACTGCAATGCTGTAAAATAAATAACGGAAACATTAATATCACTCTCACCTTATCTCTCTTAGGACACGCTGTTCTGGCTCCACCACTCAAGAATGCATTAACCTCCATTGATTAGAGAGACAAAATGAAAGCCAGTGTGCACAAATATAATGTCTGTTTATATTAAGAGCAGCTAATCAATCAGCAGCTGCTGCTGGGATGTAACTTGAGCAGGTCAGGAGTTTATATTTTGTCTGCAGCACAGTTAGAATCAGAGTCAGGAACATGACATCTTTATTTAATGCAAGGTTTTAGTCGTGTTAAAGATCCATGTTAAGCAATATAAGACATTTTTTTTTTCTATTTTATCATTTCTGATCATCTTTATAACTTATTCACAGATATTACCACACAACTCATAAAAGCTCGTAGACGCAGAAAGAAACCATGATAGCAATAATACAGCTGCATCTCAATGATCTAAAATATAAATTAAGTTATTTCAATAATTTAAAAAAAAAGTTGACCTCATCTCTATTTAAAACAGAGACAAAGTCTATTTTCAGACTTTATATCTGTTATTTTTGATAATTACAGTTTTGCAGAAAATGTAATTATATCAGAACAAAACATTTTTATTATTATATTATTTTTTTTTTTTTTTTACAAAAATGTAGTGATCGCAGCAGTCCAGCAGACATTGAGGGTAAGTGACAATTACTGAACATGCTGATTATTAAGGAGTGCTGTTACCGACAGTATTATTAACAAGATGAGTGGAATGAAAAACGGACTCAATCAACACAGCTGATTGACAAGTTAAGACTTCCTACACAAAATGAGACTTCCTACACAAAATGTACTGAATCTTGTTTAATTATTATTTACAAGACCAAGTACACTTTTTATAACTCTTTCTTTTTTGTGTGTGTGTGTGAGACGATAATCACATTTGGACTTAACCGCACAAAATGAACACCACGTATAATTTCATAATAACCCATAACAACCCTGACAGAGAGCCACTGTGTCCAGTGTGGTCCCAGTGCTTTTGGGAACCTCTATGTCACCTGGTAATATGATAATAGCAGAACCACCTTTAGGTTCATGTGCACGTTTCAGACTTGTTCCAACACGTATTGCAGAGATTCTTTATCTAAAGTCGTTCAGGTTTTACGAGACAGATGCTTGGACCCGTTTTCATATTGAGCGAGCTATAGGTGAGCGGGTTATTCAGGGGGCCACCAGGGCGTGCAACTGTTATAGGTGGGACTGGGTCAGCGACAATACTTAAGTTATTGAAGTAAAGTCATAGAGACATCCAGGCTCTTACAGCAGAGCGTGGTGCTTTCCAGAGATTATTAATGTCACTCACTTCACCTGCCAGTGGTCTTTATGTTGTGGATGATTGCTGACCATGTTAACCATCATCCAGATCAGGACACTGCAATCACTGTAAATGCTACTATTAAACGAAATAGCAGCATCACACGCTCCATCACCGACGACGACTCTACTTTATTTCAAAAAGCTAGTTCTGAACAGTGAAATTGACTAATTGTGCCTCTCTGTTCATGTGTGTGTGTGTGTGTGTGTGTGTGGTTCACGGGTTTGTGTGTGTGGATGCTATTGACTCTGTCAGCTGTGTAAGCAGCCGGCAGCAGCCACGCTGAGAGCGCAATATCTCAAAGGCAACATGCTTACAGGTGCAGCCCAGTTTTACTAAATCTCCCCTTACTGACTGTCCAGCTGAGTCGCACAATCCATTACACTGTGAATCTGGCACTTTTTGTTAGGTTTATTCTAAATCTCACATACTTTACTGTATTTAGTTCAAACTTACACTGTTGTAATTAGAATCTTTCTTGTTGGGCTTTAATCAGTTTGGTTCTCTCTAATTTTGGAGTCTAGAGACTGGGCATACCTGAGCAGAGCTTGGAGACAATACTGCTGGGATGACACGAGCTACATTTGGTGGTATTCTGAAGGAGGTCTAGTATCAGTGAAAGGCAAGCTAGAAAAAAAGTAGCTATTTATGATGAGTGGGTAATAAGCTCAAACAGCCAAAAGGACTCACTGTTCAAGTACACTGCCCTTCATTGGAAGGTACTCAAAAAGCAGTGTATTGGAAACACTTTTGAGAATCCTTGTCTGAACTGAAATGCCAGAAAGAGGACGAGGGAAGAGTTATGGGTTTACAACAAGAAATACAAACTGGTAACATTATGCTTTTTTCATTGCATTTTGTACGTTCCAAACAGTGTATACCAACTTGTTCACTAAATAAAGACAGAACAGCAATGTGTGTGCATCAAATTTCAGACAAAATAAACTTTTTCTTTTTTTTTTTTTTTTACCAAAGCACTCACTAAATTAAACTCCGGGGTAACCTTGTTTGATTTTGAGATTGAGGTAGGTAAGAAACCAACTTTCACACTCAGATTTCCACCTAACTAACCTTTCAGTTCAACTTTTCAGCTTGAATTAATAAGATGTCAACTTCTGAGTCCAAATACAATGCAGCAAGTAATGTGGTGTCAATAGCTATTTTTTTTTAAATGAGTTCAGTATTAACAATATAATGTCGATACTTCTTAGTATTAGAAGTAGCTTTCTAGATCATATGTACATAAACTAACTTTAATGTGTGTTTTACTTTTATTATCAATCGTTTCTTTCATTGGAGACTGCTAAAAAAGGTGCTATGACTGGATCTTCCATAATGATAAAAAATATATAAACTGATATGATTGCCTTGCCACTTTATTGGGTAAACCCGCAGAACTGGGTATGACCACCATGACGTCACCGTGATATATATATATATATATATATATATATATATATATATATATATATATATATATATATATATATATATATATATATATATAAAAACTTATTTTATTTTTACTGTCACATACAGTAAAACTTGTAAAAACACTTTTTCACCTCCTGCAGATGTTTCGTTGCCCGGTTGACAGCCTCTTCATATCCGGACTGCCTCAGCTCACTCAGACTCTCATAGTACTCATCTGGGTCGTCGTTCTCCGTGAACAGAACCTGCGACAGGATCTTCCATCCGCACGTATCGAGCGCATGGCCGAGGTACACCTGTAAGCCGTGGCACAGCTCGTCCATTTCGGTCTCCGACACCCCCGGCGGGCCGAACAGGACCGTCCACATCCCGGCTGGCTCCTCCGGAAACAGCGGCAGGCAGGGCTCCAGGACGGAGTTCACGGAGCAGAGCTGCAGGTGGATCGCCCGCAGGTCCTGGAAGGAGAATAGTCCTGCCCAGCTGCAGTCCTCTCTGCTCAGGCTGTCCAGCTCCTCCAGCTCCAGGGAGTCCAATGAAGAGGACATCTCGTCCTCTCCCAGTATCTCCGCATCCGTCGGAATCTTGACTGGACTCGGTTTAGTCGCTGTGACGGACTTGGTTTTAGGGTTGCATCCTTTACTTGGACTCCGAGACACTTTATCCCTGATGGGACTTTCAGGCCATCTTGTTTTGTCCCCATCCAGGCTGGTCAGTTCCGCCAGAGGGTCCCTGCCGAAGCTTCTCCTCTGAACCGTCCTATCGTGACACGTAATGGCAAATTTCCCCTCCACCTCATTCCAGGCGACGATAAAAACAAATTTGTGCTTCTCCTTTTCCTCAAACGCATTGGGGCGGACTGCTACCCATCCCGACTCTAAATTATCCTCCATAGTGAAGGACATTTATGCCAAGTAATTAAAACAGACTTCCAGAAACTGCGGAAAACCCGGAGCGCAGTTAGACGGAGAGCATTACAATGTTGAAACAAAATTAACCGTTTCTCTCCGGGGGTACTTATTTTCCTGCGGGGCTACCCTCCTTCGTTTGGGCGGATGGATTTGGAGCAGTGCGGTGTCATTTCCCATCTCTGGCCCACCTGCCTCTAACTCGGATGTCTTCCTGTCTATTTCAGCCTTCTGCAGCCGCTAGCCTTGTTTTTAGCTCCATACACGGACACACGGCAACAACAGGCGGCAGTGTATTTGTGTTTACCACCAGTCCAACGTTAGAGCCGCCGCAGCCTCCGAGCTGCGTCCCGTTATCCTCAATCCCTCGGCTCCAGACCCTCCTTCTTATCATAAAGCACCAGCGGAGAGCTAAAGCAGAAGGGCACATCGTTCAAAAACACCACGCCGAGGACATGCATGAGTAGGATGAATGCGTTTGTCAAACTGCGTTGTCAGAAAGGCCAGCATCTTCTCCAAACTGACAGCAAGTCCGAGTTATTCCTCATTATTTGCACAGAATGATGCTGCATTAAAGTGCTCTCAGAAATGGAGGACTGACGTTAAAAAAATGCTCGTTCACATACAATACCAAGCCAGAAGTTAGTGATTTTCTGTCGTTTTTTTTAATCAGAAATACACCTGTTCTGTATATGTTGCTATAGTTAAAAAATCTGAGTGACAGTATACGTCTTAAAATTAAAGACGGCTTCTTTAGGAAGCATTTGAACGCAACAATGGAATCTCGACGTATCCAGTGCACGTAGACGCTCTGACGTCCTGTATTGGATTTGCAGATCATATTCCCTAACTGGGGTCGGAACAACACTGAGTCATAAAACATTAAGTGAGAGTTATTCAGTGACTCTCCAAAGAAATAATATATATATATATATATATATATATATGTTAATAACATAGTTTATGTTGTTAAACTTTCTCTTTTTCTGCATTCTTGTTAAGGCAACAAGAATTGCCCCTTAGACTTTATTACTGTAACATCAAATACTAATATTAATAATACTGAGAGCATGAAGTTCTCATGAACTAAAATATCTGAAAAATGCATGCAATGACTTAGAGATATTTAAGAAAACTATATAGTCAGTTCAACCTAATCGTGCACAAATTCAATCACAGACAATCCACTTTAATCTCAACTTTTAAAATATGAAGTCAATTCAGCTTTTTGTTGAAAAGGCTAAGAAGTTTTCCATCAAGTTTTGTATCGAGTCACTGCAGCATGCACTCCTCCTGAATCAGCGTGTATTTTTAACATCTGAGGAAGCGCCGGTAACAATAAACAAAGTAGCAACACCAACAGACAGTAATTCTCTAAAACCTTCAGCAGAGACTAGAGCGATCTTTATATGTCAAACCTTTCAAACGGTGTAGCTTTCCTGTATATTTGTTTCAGTTTTCTACAGCCAAGAGTTCAATCTGTAGTAACTCCATTACTCAGTATTAAAAAAGTGATGAAGTAGCAACTTTTTGTAACATTTTAAAGATATTGTTACACAATGCAAAAAAAGCGGATGCATATTTCACGTATCCATCCACTTTCTTTCTTAATGTTTAAATTGTTATAAGAGATTGGTATTTTTGGTGGTTTGACTTAAATGATAGTGTTTGTTTGTTACTGGTCGTGTTTTTCTCTGCAGGGATGATGTCCTTAGGGACACCGTCCCTGTCGCTGGGAAAGGGAATGAGAGTGGTGCCACAGCCAAATACCTCTGTGGAGCAGGTGCTGGCAGTTTCAGACAAAGTGGGACACGAAAATGTTGCATTCGCTTCTCGTATGAAGCGGGTGCAGGGCTGTGGGTTTGGGATGCAGGGATTCCAAACTTAAACACGTTCAAGTGTTTACTTGGATTCACCACTCAGCTGTTAGATATCTCTTTCCGTGTTAAACACGAAGAGGGTTATTATAATGGGTTATGTAAGCTAAGGTCTGATGAAGTGTTTTGAATGTGGAGATGAGGAAATCTGTACTCTGTCCTGGAGAGGGCGCTGTAAGATTTGCTCGAGACTTATCAGAAAGCAAACAAAACAACACTCACTTCCTGGCGGGATTCAAACAGCAAGCTGCTTTAAATAAACACGGAAATTTTAGAATTAAGTAACAAATATGAAAAAGGAGACCTCTGAAATTTTTTTGCATTATTGCAAATAAAACGAATGATGTTACAATCATAAACACCGACTAAAAACTAGGGCAGAAATGGTTTGAGGATATAGTTAAAGTGTTGAATTTTTTATACGTCCGACGGACCTTGAAGGGGCCATCAGGCAAACAGAATCTGCGATGCATTAACTGTGAATTTATGACGGACAAAGATTTGTTAGTAACTAAGACAAACTATTATTCATAGCTAGCAAGCATTCGCTTCAAGCCGTTTTTTAATTTTATGTAATTAAATTCTTAAAATAACTTCAGTAAAACCTTATTAATTTCGAAGTTGTAATATAATAGCTTGGCATATTATGAAGCTGAAGTGAGATTTGCACTGTTATAAACGTCAACTCGGGATACTTGTAAAGTTAAGGTGAGATATTTAAGATAAAATAACAATAGTTAATCGTAGTAATGATTGTGTCATATTCAGATATCAGGGAATAGTTCCCCATTTTTTTTTATGTCTGACAGAAAATTTCTCGAGAATTGTTAAATGCAAACATTTCATGATGTACTAGTCTGTTTTATTTAAAGGATATTCGTAACATACGCAGCTCCAACCCTACTTTTTTAACCAGCGGTAAATTGTGTGCAATATAGATTTTGTAGATAAGCTTTCTGTACGCTGTAAACATTTAGTGTGAACAGGACAATTTTTAAAGATTTTTATTAGTTCTTTGCAAATAAACAGGAACAGGACATTATCCTCAAGCTTTGGAAACTCAATGGCATTAAAATATACCTTAATACACACAAGAGTCATATCAACGTAACGTATTTCAATCTCACGGTGCAACGCAGGATATAAAAACATCCTGCTAAGCACACTGGTAAATAGTTCCCACTCCTTTTATTGTTCTTTCAACTTTTTTAAGTGCCAACCTAAAAACTCTAGTTTATTCAATGCTTGGAGGTTTGACAAAACTAATGAAAGTTAACACAACTCACTACTACAAGTTTATCTTTCATAAACTCACACATTTAGGTTCAAAATCTAAAACTCGCTAAATTTATGTGACTTAAAGAGTGGAAGACAGTAGACTCAACTAAATGCGGCTCAAATGTTTTGCAGTGTACAGACTGAGTTGGCCATGGTTGAGGTTTGTGTTGGGAAAAACGTTCCTGCATTGACAGATTTGCCCGCAGCATTTGCATCATTATCCTACTAAAAATCACAACCTGGTTTGTAGTTTACTAGCAGATTCTACTAGAGATGGATTTGAAATCTATTCTCTGATTTAAATCCAGGTGATTTTTTTATTTATTTTTTTAATCAGTCTTTGGGGTTGGTGCTGGTTTGACGTCTCGCACATGGACAACAGCAGCTTAGATCAGATGGTGGAGACTGTGGGCCAGAATGAGGGTCCAGCTGCTGAGGATTACCCAGCACAGGAAGACACCTCACCAGCAGACATGCTGAGGTTCGTATCTTCTTCTTCTTACCTAATATTTCAACATTTTGCTTAATTCAAACCTTGCTGATCCTTTTCAAATAATTTCAGAATCAAGCAGCAGATGGCGAACCAGTGTTTTGAGATGACTGTGCAGCTCAACGCAGGTATACAACGAGACATTTTTCTGTGTTACTGAATTGCTATGCTGTCAAGTTCACAAAGAGCTGATTTGAAACTTAGGAAAAAGTAAGCGGCCCTGCAGCACATCTCAGGCAGAAAGAGAGCTGTGAGTATTTGAAAAAAAAAAAAATCCTCTTTTATTTTTATCTAGAAGTTAAATCAGATGCAACGTTAGGAGGAAACTAAAAACTGCCGACATTTCAGGCCAGACTGCATCTCGGAGCTTGAACGTGTGAAGACGGTCCATTTCAACAGCAGCCTGGCTCTGCACAGGTGAGACTAACCTTCCAGCGTTCAGCTTTAAATTGTAGCAAACCTCTGACGGTGATTTGTCTTCGTTTTGTTTCTCAGAATACAGATGTGGAATGCTATAGGAGAAAAAATGAAGCAGACGGATCCGGATGCAACGTAAGTACCTTCGTAACTTGACAGGATCGCTACTGTTTCACTCCCCCCCCCAGATGTGTTTGTTTGTAACAAACATCTGCTTTTCTTAGGGACCTGAAGGCTGTTAGTGCTCGCTGCATGGCTCTGTGTTCGCAGATAAAACAGCTCCAGATGGTAAGTTTTGGCTTGTGTCATAGTTGTGTGGCAAAGACTTCTTGAAAAAGTGAATTTCATACCTCAGTTTTTCATGCTTTTCAATAGGAGACCAGAAATCTTCAAGATGAAATTACAGAAATGCAGAAGGAGAGACTGGGTATGTTGTGGCATCCATTTATTCATTCATCATTTATTAATTTACTCAAGCTTCTGTTTATTCTTATGTTTATCCATCTGGCCGTCCATCTTTACAAACTGTGGTTTTTCACAGGTTCAGTTATTTACAGCATTATACCTGCGTAAGAGGTTCATTTGAAGTTTTGCATCATGACCAATGACTTAAGATTTTACCAGAAAGTTTAGAGATTTGAGTCTGAGAAAAGAAAATTGTCAGGAGTTCTCTGGCAGGTTTTATTTATGTTGCTGATAGCTTACTTTAAATTATATTTGTGTGTGTAGAGATTAAACGACTCACGCATGAGAAAATGAAAGAGACGCAGGAGTTATTGTCCAACAAAGAGCATCCAGACTCAGAAAAGTACAAAGCGGTGCTGGAGAAAGGCCAAGAAAACCTGGAGATTTATAAGAAGATGGCCATAATGGCACAGAATGTCCTCAGGGTAAGTTACACACACTAAAAAAAATATCTGAACAGCTCATTAGTAACATTAACATCTAGTTTATAAATCTGTTTCTTTCTCTCCTCAGGGCATCCTGTTGGCGTGTAAAGTTAACTGGCTGGATGAGCCAAACCTTCGTGAAATTGTAATGACGCTGGAGGACTTTCCTATCTCTGACTAGAGCAAACATTAATTTATCTCCGTTATATGTTTTTAGTATTGTGTTATTTAATAAAAATGTATTAAACCCCGTTTGGCTTCCTTATTTTTTAAACAGTGTACACGAGCTCCCACTAGAGGGCAACAAGGAGCTCCGGGACTTTTAGCTATTCTGTCGAAGAAGAAAGGAAGACACGTGTGGCCTGAGTGTAGTTTAAATTCACTCAGTATTTAGAAATTTGGATTAACAAGAAACACACACGAAACACTTTTAAAGCTCTTTAAATAAAATTAAAGAAGGAAATGCCAAAGGTCAAAGCGGAGAAGAAGAGCAGGCAGCACCAAGATGTTAAAAGCCAAGGTAGGTTTGTCCGAGCAGTAGCTTGTTAGCTTTAGCATGTTAGCAAACATTGGTCTGCCAGCTGTTGAGGCAGCAGAGAGGTTATGTCGATGCGGACAGATCTGTGTCACTTTATTGGAGGACACCAGCATGTGGCATGTTGTTTCCTTTCTAGGATTTTAATTGTGATATTTACATGATCATAATAGATGCCAAAACTAACTAAAATGTTGCCTAATTTTTTAAGGGATGCCGAGTTCTTCGTTTAGGGGTTCAGTCATGTTGTGAGGACACTCAGTCACATCTAATCCGGAGCTGAAGTTTATGTCATTTGACAGTTTTAAAGCTCAGAGTTCTCTACTAACAATCTAATAAATGTCTAAGGTACAGAAGTTAAATTGTTCAAACCGGGTACACACGGATGTTTGAGCATTTCTTATTTTGTCCTACATTCTCCAAGTGTGTCCTTCTATTATACTAACTTTAATCTGTCCACCTGTACATCCTTGGCTCCGTTTATTTTTCTGTCCATCTGTATGTGTAATAGTCTATCCGTCCATATATCAATCTCTCTATCCACACATCATCCATCTGCCCATTCATCCAAAGGACAGTCTGTCCTTCCCTTCATTCACCTGTCGGTCTGTGCATCCTTATATCCATCCATCCATCCATCCATCCATCCATCCATCACCCTAAAACTGACTGGGACCTCTGAAAATTTGAGTCAGTAAAAGTGTAAACACCCTGGTGTGACAGATGAGTTCTTCATGAGAAATATTTGGTGTCTGTTGCAGGGATCATGTTCAACACTGGCATTGGTCAGCACATCTTGAAGAATCCGTTGATCGTCAATGGGATAATTGAGAAGGTATGAGTGTCGCAGCAGCCTGGTGGAAGGAAAGCACACACTTCTACTGTTGGGTGTTTCAGCTGCTGAGCAAAATGAATTGAAGCCACACGTCTGTCTAAATCTGAATATTGAAGGCAGAACTTAGGCTGACAAAGGATATTAAAAACTGACTTATAAAAGCATACTTGTGTGAATTCAGGTATATTAGGACATATTGAAAGTCAGTTTATGATTTCCTTGATGTCCCCCTTTGTCTGACTTCACCTGGTCAAAAACGACTGACCTAAAGAAGCTTTAAATCCATTCAAGAGTTTAAGGGATCTTTGCTAAGGCACAGACTGCTATGCACAACGAATTTGCAACTAGTTTCTTAGTTGGGCTAAAAAGAAATAGAACTGGACAATTGTTCAGTCGTCCAAAGTCTCATGTTTAGATGAAAATAAAGGCTGTCGTCTGGAGGAAGTGTTGAAAGGGACATAATGATGGTTGAAATCCAGTGTGATGTTTCCGTGGTCGGCGATGGTTAGGGGTGCCGCATCTTCTCCCGGTGTTTGTCCACTGTGTTTTCTGAAGTCCACAGTCAATGTAACCGTTTGCCAGAAAACCTTTGAAAATTTTCACACTATTTGAATTATTTTTTAGACATACATGCCTGTACATTACTCAACTATGAGATTATTCTGATTTTGACAGCGACTAGCATTAGTACCGGTGTCCCTATAGCAATGTTTGAGCCTAAAGCAAATGGATCTGCTCAACTGGCTTCAGAAACATGCTTCTTTTGTAATTGATTGGAGGTGATTTATGATGTAACTTATTGTCCAGGCTGCTCTCAGGCCAACGGATGTGGTTCTGGAGGTTGGACCCGGTACGGGTAACATGACGGTAAAACTGCTGGAAAAAGCAAAGAAGGTGAGCATCTCGAGAGTTTTTTCCCTCTCCATTCGGATGGAGAATGTGTAATGTGCCGTATACACAACTAAAAGTATGTTGTTGTTTTTTTAGTTCTGTAAAGCTTTTGCTGTCAATACAGATTCCAGACTGTCTGTATATTCTTCTTAAAAAACTATATCTAGCCTCGGCATAAATCCAGCTGTTCTGTGAAGGCCTGTGAGGTTTTGTTGGAGAGTTTTAGTGAACAAACGACATCAAGAAGACCGAGGAACACAGCAGACGGGTCAGGTAGAAAGTCGTGAAAAAGTTTAGCAAAGAGTTAGTTCAGAAAACATCTCGCATAATACTTTTCAGTTCATCATCCAATGTATTTCACATTTTTTAAACCTTTAAGGAGAGCTCAGGTGGGAAGCTGTCAATAGTGGAACTGTTAGCTATGCACTCAACGGATTTGACCGACATGCTGAAGGTTTTATGTTGCGATTCTGTGTTTATAACATCATGCCCATAAAATTCCTACTCTGGTTTCCTCCTTGTGCAGGTGGTGGCCTGTGAGTTGGACTGCAGGCTGGTGGCTGAACTCCAGAAAAGAGTGCAGTGCACGTGAGTGAGGACAGCAGTCTGTGCTGAAGTCTGCTCTGTGTAGAGTAGAAATCGTCAGATTCATGACCATTACGAGACAAAGTGAAGCTTTGTTTCTTTCGACAGGCCCTTGCAGAACAAACTTCAGATATTAGTCGGCGACGTCTTAAAGACAGATCTTCCTTTCTTCGATGTTTGTGTCGCTAACTTGCCTTATCAGGTAAGTACTTTATTTCCTGCTTATGATCCAGATTTCCTCATTCTTATCCCAGTCTAACTTTTGCTACTTGCTTGTGCAGATTTCTTCACCGTTCGTCTTCAAGCTGCTGCTTCACCGGCCGTTCTTCAGGTCAGGATGACTGGAAGCTTCCAGCTGAGATGCAGCTGTCTAGTGTTAAGGTTCTTCTTCGGTGTTGTTTTGTGCAGATGTGCTGTTCTGATGTTCCAGAGAGAGTTTGCGATGCGACTGGTTGCCCAGCCTGGAGACAAGCTGTACTGCAGGCTGTCCATCAACACACAGCTGCTGGCGCGCGTGGATCACCTCATGAAGGTTGGCTAGGGAACTCTTCAGATCAACGGCGACGCTTTTCAATTATTCAATGTACGCAATGTTGGAAGAATCTCTGTCGATCCTCCCCAGGTGGGGAAAAATAACTTCCGTCCTCCGCCAAAAGTTGAGTCGAGTGTCGTCAGGATTGAGCCGAAAAATCCTCCTCCTCCTGTTAATTTCCAGGTGAGCTCCTACTGCCTCTGGTTGGTCCTTAAGAACAAAAACAAACATTCGGTCATAAATGCAACCGTTTCTTCTGAATGCAACAGGAGTGGGACGGTCTGGTGAGAATCGCCTTCGTACGGAAGAACAAAACCCTCAGTGCAGCTTTTAAGTGAGCGACAACCCGCGTTAAGCAGAAAACTTGAGCTGGTTTCCCTTAGCGGAGGATCTAACAGGTGTTTTCATTTACCAGGTCTACCGCAGTGGAACAGCTGCTAGAGAAGAACTACAGGATCCACTGCTCGTTACACAACATGGTGAGTAAAAAAACAAAACAAAAAAAAAACAGTAAAGATATCTGGTTTCATTAATTTACCCGGTTCAAAACTCTTCCCTCCATCTTAACAGGAAGTCCCAGCTGACTTCAGCATCAGCAAGAAGATCGAGAGTGTTCTGCAGGAGGCGGATTTCAACGAGAAGAGGGCCAGGTCCATGGATATCGATGACTTCATGGTGTAAGCTGCATGATCCAAATCTGTACTGGACTGTTCTTTTGAGTACACAATCCAAGATTCATCTTTAAATTCTGTTTTTGTTTTTTTTTTTTTGTTTTTTTTATCCTCAGGCTGCTGCACGCATTTAACTCTGCAGGAATCCACTTTTCATGAAGAGCTGAGACAGAACTATGAATGGAGATGGAAACAGTCAGACTGATCTGACCTCTCCTAGATGAGAGATGGATTTGCCATAGAACTGTGAATGTTTGCATAAAAACATAATGTGGTCAAACAGCTCATATTGAGCACCATTAAAATCGTGTATAAGGATGTATTGGTTCCTTTTTTTTGTCCTCATTTTAAAAGAGGTGTGAGTGTGGTTAGCTGACTGCAATTCGTAGAGGGTTATGGAAACCACATACATCACCTTCCTCATTTTCCTCATTGTGAAGTTTTTAAAATAAAATCTGCATCCATCGTTTTTTAATCAAACCAGTTTCTTTATGCTCCCAGAAATTATGTACAAGAAGTTGTATTATTTTAAAGAAAGATGAGGATCAAACACACACAGGTTCTCAAAGTCTGAAGTTTGATTTTATAGAAAAGTGAAAGTACAATAAGAAAATTTTAATTTTTTTATGTTAAAATACCAAAAATTAGAACCAAGGTAGAAAACGGTTTTATCCCCTTTTATCAGTCATTCAAAAACAAAAAAATTAGGCTCAGATTATTATTCAAAAATATTTCGTGGACACATTTCTGGAGATTTCAAGTCGATATTTTGACCATTTTAAAGTATAAATAAAAGTTAAATGTGAATTTGTGGCAGATATTTCTGCAGAGCAGGTTTTAAAGTGCTTCAGACTGCAGCTACTTTCACCCAGTCAAACCCACACATTCATAAGCAGATTGGTAAGCAACTCTGGGCTGTAAGTGCCTTGCTCAGGAGTACCATTGAGGGGGAGCAGGAATCAAACCTACAACCTTCAAATTGAAAGATTGCTCTCAGACTGAGCCACATTGACACCTAGTAAATAGTTGCCTAAATTAGAAAACAAGCGATCCTCATACAGATGGTGTATTCCCAAATAGTCGGCAGCGAATACTTAAAGTGGACAGTAGGGGGCGAAAGAGTCAAGCTTAGAACGGGTTTGGACTCACTAGTTCCATTTGCGAATAAAAGTCAACATATAAAACTATTAATTCCTTTTAAAGAGATGGAAATCAGGCACCCGAATGAGTTTAGATGCAAAAAATGATTTTATTATAATTTGCCATAAAACGTGTTTCATTTTCTCATGCAGCTTTGGCAAAAATATAATAAAAATGTACCAAGACCAAATAGGATGTTGTGCAGCACAGACCACGTTCAGAGGGTCCGTTTTAATAAAAATGGAAGTTGCTGAGTTTATTTGGAGAACATGTCACAGAAGTCATTCAAATGAAACAGGATTTTCATCTTTTCTTTTTTTTTTTTTCTAACTCCCTCCAGCATTACATCCAGTGCAAACGCTGAGAAACACGAACCAGTTGTAGGTCAGTGGTCTTCACTATACATGTATTAACAGTTCTTCTTAGTTCCTTTTTGTAAACACAGTTAAACGGGTGGAAAATGTCGGAGGCGGTCGTCGCTACGTATTAGGACAACATGGCACAGAGCGAACGAAGCAAGCTACAGTTAAAAACCTCTGAGGAACACGAGGAAACAAAGACAAACGAGAGCTTCAAGGTTTCTCCTCAACCGCTACAAACTCAGAGTAAAACAGAAGAGGTCACTTACAATGAAATACGACGTCACAATGTGAACCGAGGACCGCTAAGCAGAGGATAGATAAGCTAGCATAGAGCGGAGCATGCAGACATGTCAGCCAGAACCAGAAACGCTGGTTTTGTGTTAAAACTTCGAGTTCAATTAGAATCTCTTCATATATCCAGTCAAAAGAATTTAGCTAAAAGTATAAAGAAGTATAAAAGAAAAAAATATATAATTTAAGTACACAGAAGGAAACTAAACATTCTTCATGGAAAAAAAACAAACAAAAAAACATCTAAAATGGAAGGAAAAACGATTCCCTTCCTGAAATATCTAAACAGAGTAAGAGCAGAGTCAGTCCTGTTAGGAGAGATCAGAACAAATACAGTTTGTTGAGCCTGTTGCTGTGTTAAATAGTCATTTTTATTTGTTTTCACAGCTGTTGGAGACAGCCAGAGTTGTGCCAAACATCTAGTGGTTCTGCTTCTGAACGCGCCACCTAAGCATCCTGGGCCTCTAAAGAGCTCGTGGTCTCTTGGGGTTGATCTGCTTACTGGCTTGCTCCTCCTCCTGAAGTGTAGAGCGGAATGACTTCACTTTATCTGTTTTCAGAGGAGAGAGAGAAAAAAAAGACAACTTGAGTCAGCTTTTTCTTTTTTTTTTTTCCTCTCACCCCCTCCTTCAGTGTTCATGCTGCAGTCGCACCTCTGAGCTCGGTGAGGATATCTATTTTCTGGTCGAGGATCTGCTCCAGCTGTGTGGCGTAAGACTCCACGTCGTAGTCCACCTCCTCGGTCATCTCCAGCAGCACCTTCTCGTCCTCCAGCCACCGGATGGATTCCTGACCCCCCCCCAGGCAGAGACAACACGGCTCAGTCTCAGGAGACTTTTTAAGTGAGGAATCAAAACGTGATCAGCCGAATCGGATGGTTTATTCTCGTTTTCACCTGGAAGACCGCTCTGTGGTCCTCCAGAACCTGCTCCTCCATCTCAACCAACTGGGAAACGGCTTCATGGAAAGTGAAGAGCTGCGGAGAAACCTCTTCCTCCTGGAACGTTAAAGCATCATTGACATTTACATAAAGAAACATTAAAATTAGTCTTCACTAATAATACAGACTCCCCCTTAAACTTATTCCCATTTTGCCAGATTACAAAAAGCTTCTAACTCCCCGGCCTGTTGGCTACAGTTATGTCGAACGGTTCTCTGTGAAATTTCCAAAGCTGGAGATGTTTCAGAACCTAACCTTGCAGTTCAACCTCAAAACTTGCATTTCTCATCAGTTTGTGGTTTTAACCTGACAACATGGAACAAACATCACAGTTTAGATGCCGAAGGACCTTTTGGTGCGACAACAAATAATTTAAGACATTCCATTTTCAGAAATGTTTGTGCGACTTCTCAGGCAGTCTAGAAGCTAAAGACGATAAGTTTGTTTCGTATGTGAAATTTAAAGAATCCGCATCGTCTTTGCTGCCGCTCCGATCTTCCCTGCAGGACTTACATTCTGCTCACAGAGCAGTTTGAGGTCGTCTCGCTGCGGAGAGATGCTCAGCCACTCCTCGTCCAAAATGTCCAGCTGGTTGACGGTGTGGATGTTGGGTCTTCCGCCCTCCATCACCTGGTTGGGGTCAACCGTGAGCTCCTTCACCCTGCGGGAGCGAAAACAGACGACTCATCAGGTCCTGTTCTGCTCTGAGGTCAGCTTCTGTTTCGCGTAGTTTATGGAGATAATTATGGGTTGAAAGCATTTATTATTTGCTTATTATTACAGGGTTATTACAGTAGCAAAGCCATGCAATGATATATATGTATACATAAAAATAAAAAAAAAGTCTCAGCCTTCATAACAAGAGTTTAAAAGCTAATAAAAGTCCAACGAGGCATCATGGAGGTAATGAGGGATTACTGCCGTGTCCCTGACCGATAAGTACCCAGTTAATTAATCGGGACTGAGAGCGGGATTACCTGCTGAGAGCTGGCTCACACAAAAAGCTCATCCTGGCTGCATTACCAACGGCTAACAGTGAAGCTTTGAGCCACGTTTTCATTCCGACTTTGCAGCTTTCAGCAAGCCATGCAGATGTCACAACTACTGACAACACTGAACAAAAACCAAAAGACCGGACGGATGTGTGATGACGTTCAGAAATCACCAGTTGGAAATAATAGTGAAAGTGCAAACGCATTGGAAGTGGGAAAAAAACAAAAAAAAGCGATAGGCTGATGAAGCGACAGATGAGGAGTTGTGATTTTATCGGGAGGAGGAGCATGCAGTGTTTGACCTGCTGGGAGAGGTCGCAGCAAAGTCATCGAGCTCAAAGGTATTGGTAGGCGAGTGGTCAGGGCGACTCCCCTGACCGCCCTGGGAGAAGGGGATGTCTGACGGACTAATCCCAAACTCCTTCACTCTGTGTGGCGGCGCCCGAAGGAGCAGAGGGAGGGAGGCGGGAAGGAAGGAGAGAAAGCAGGAAAGAGGAGGAGTAAGAGAGAGAGAGTTGCAGATCAAACCGACAGTAGAAAACACACCGGCAGTCTGGACTATGTAAAGAGGGTAGAAGTGCTAATCAGGCTAAAATCCTCCCACCTGTTGGCGTAGCGCAGCGTGTTGAGCGTGTTTTCACAGGATGTCATTCCAGGAGAGATTGTTGCAATCTGTGGGAATACGGTACATTTAGATTAACGGGGATTGTAGAGAACGGCCAACGTGGATACAGACTTCCTCTGCAGACGACGAACTGACCATGCACGTGCGAGAGTTCTCCCCGATGAAGGAGTCTCTGAGGACCTGGGTGAGCTTACTGGCTCTGAAAGGAGTGTGCGGTTTGTTACGGCCAAGAGCTCGGATGCACTCCTGAAACGAAACAAAAACGACGAGAAGAAATGTAGCGAGAGGAATACCGTTCGGGGGAACCAAAAAACTGCATGAGCCTTTCAACATATTTCCCGCATGACTGCGTCACGGTCGCACAGGCCACGGACCTTGAGGGCCAGCAGGCTTTTGTTTATCTCGGCTCCCTCCAGACGAGTCTGCCGGTCGGCGCTCGATGTGTCGGCGCCTCTCTCGTTCCCTGCGAGGTCGATGAGCGAGAACTTCCCGTGCATCTTCCCCTTCCGTCGAAGGATGATCTGGAACACGGCGTGGCTCCGCGACGAGTGAGCGTTGGCCGACGTCTGCCCAGATGTTCTGGGAGGAAACGGGACGGAAACGTTTAGGGATAACCATCAGATCACCTGCTAGGAAGCAAACCGAGAAAGGATCAAGAAAATGTTGCCCCTTCAAGTTTCAGGTTAGGTTTGTTACAACCAAAAAGCTCAATGTATTTTATTGGGCTAGACCAGCGTAGTGGTGCAAAACTGTGAGCTAGCAACACACTGAGGTTTGTGGTTGTAAACTGGGTGTGTACGCATTTACTGCAAGAGCCATAATGCATCAGCCTCCACCTCCAACAACCCAGCCCAGCTCTACCTGCAGCTGTTTCCCACTTCAATAAGTTTTAGGACGTCTTCTGTGCACTTGACTTCCTTCTCCTGGAGCCCCACCACCTGCACCTGTTGCTTCCCGTCCTCCAGCACCCTCAGCTTAGCTTTATGATTCAGGAGGTCGAACACCTGGAGATGCAAACGCAAGAGTCAGCTTTTGTGCAGCGCAGGACGGAGGACGGTCCAGCAAACCGTTAAACAGCTCTTACTTTCCCGCTGTAGATTTCAAAAAAGGTTGCATAAACTTGTAGATCCAACTTCTTGTAGTTGGCTTTCTTCAGCATTTGGAAGACATCCCGGGCTGCGCCAAAGGAAACGCAACATTTAAATCCGTTCTATGTCAAAACAGTCCAAGTTTGTTTCGTTTAATCAATTAAAAGATTAAAATGAGTGCTTGAAGATGCCTCGTGTTTACCTGCTAATGCGTAAATTCCTTTAGAGCAGTCTTGGTTCTTCCCAGAGAAGTCTCCTCCCATTGTCTAAAACACGGTAAACATTTGAACAAATCTCACTTAAATATTCCATCCAAGTTGTTCAAAACGTTTCATTTTTTAACAGGTTCTCGCCACTTCAAACTCACGTGTGTTTTACCGCTGCCTGTCTGACCATAAGCAAAGCAGGTAGCCATGCCCCGCTCAAAAATGGTCTCCACTAAAGGCCTGGCAGTAAACCTTCAGGAGGAGACAACGTCGCATACGTCAGTGAAGACGAGCCGCTTTTAGGACACGCACAAAACACACGGAGAGCTGGACGTCACACTTCTTCACAAACCTGTACACCATCTCGTTGCTGGAGCTGTCGTCAAAGGCGTAGTCAAAGCGGAACGTCTGGTTCTCCAAGTAGCGGGTGAGGTCCACTTTCTGCTTGGGTTCATGAACCATCACCACGTCCTTACTGGGGATGGTGATCACGTCCAGGTCCTTCATGGTCAGCTCTGGAAGCCAGCAGAAAGCAGCAACATGAACGGCGCCTTGCAGAAGTATCGACATCCGTCAGAGATTCTCACTTCTACGGGTGTTTCGTTGGAATTAACACAAAATAGGGAATTACTTGAAAAGAAGATGATGATGGTTTTCACACAAACAATATATTAAAAATGAGAACATCCCAACACAGCTGCTAAATCTGTGGATACAATTTGGGTTCAGGAAGGGAAAAAAGTTGCACTTTGGTCTCATCCGACCACAGCAACTTCTTCTTCCCACTTTTCCAAAAAGATTTTATGAGTGCACAACTAATGGTTGTCCTGTCTGCAGATTTTATTGGATCAAACTCCAATAAAGTTCACTGAAGTTTGCAACGGTAATGTGGAAGAAAATGGACTGGTTCGCTCTGAAATACGTCCGTACCTTTTTTGTTGAGTGGACGTTTCCTCACACAAACACATATTCTGTGCTCTTCGATCTACAAGGAGGAAGAGATCGAGATTTTAAATGAGTTATCGACAACCTGCAACTTTCAAACAAAAAAAGCAGCAGCAGCTCTGGCTTCTGCTCACCACATCAGCAGTGGTCAGGGGCCGGTAATCCAGGCTGGCCCGGAAGTCTCGGATCATGTACATGATCTCATAGTTGGGGATGGTGGTATCCACCTCCTGGAAAACAACACGGAGACCAGGAATTTAAAAAAAAAAAAAAAACTTTATACATGAAATGTCATTTTTGTCTGCAGGAAACACTGATTGAACGCTGCTGCACCTGAGCTCGTTTCTCTCTGAGCTCCTGCTGCTGAAGCCGGCGCCTTTCTCTCTTCTCCTGCAGCTTCTCCACCTCCTTCACGCAGTTCGACTTCCTTCTCGCTGCCATTGGGAAAGAAGAAGAAACGGCAACACCTCCGGTTTTAAAACGACGCATCAGTAGCTTGTTTATTTCACCACTTTTTCCACACTGATGGTATTCCCAAAACTAAAGGGAAACCCTACACAACAAAGCTGAAGAGTGGCAGTGCAGTGGCTGGCACACTGTGTTTCCACCATTAAACACTAGCTGCTTTCTCTTCGTGGCCAACAAAAGGCCTTTAGAGAACCAAAATCCTTCTCTTGTTAAGTCTGCCTTTAATCGGTTCCATCAGACACAAAAGAACTGGAAGCAATAAGAATGTCTCGTTTTTATTCCACTCCTTTATTACTTCTGCTAAATAAAACTGTCTCAATAAACGAGAGACCAACCTCACTGTTACCCAAAACTCCCAGCACACCTGCTGATTAGTGTTGCTTCAGATCAATCAGAAATTATTAGTAACCACAACAGGATACATGTTAGAGAAATGTGAGTAAAAAGCCCTTCAGATTTGACAAAAAACAAAAAACAAACTGTGATTATCTGGTTGGCTCCAGCATCCCACTGCAAAGCCTGACAAAACCCAGAGATACTGCGCTGGCCCCCCTGCTGGCTCCAGTACCACTAAACCTAGACTATCAGAGCAGGAGGATTAATAATCTGCTCTAATCTGTGAGAAGATGATGAGCTGGGTCAGTACCAGGACAAGAAAGTCGGAGAGGAGTGCAGCACCACGCGTCGCCCAGTTATTCAGACCAATAGAGAAGAGGCTGATGGGTAAAGAAGCAAAACGGAGGAGGGAGGGGGTGTCCCGTCTTTCTCAGAGTCCAAACAGTGAGCACTTTCAGTGAGGTAACAGAGTTCACCACAAAAACACTAAATCTTAAAGAATTTTGGTCTAGTTTCTACTGCAAATATCTTAGTGCACTGGAAATAAGACAAAACTAACTTCCACTAACTAACAACTTTTTAGCAAAAATGTAGGAGCTTGTTTTAAGTTCCGTTATGTAACTTATATGACAGAAATGTCACGTTCCACAGGCAGATTATGTCACACATGACCAGTAGTTTCTCATCAATATTAAGGAATTACTGACCTAAAACAACCTCCTGTTACTTGATGAAAAGTTACTTCTACTAAGATATTTGCACGAGAAACCAGACCGAAAATACTTGGTAAGATTTTGTATTATTGAAGTGTAACAGTGCGACACAAGCATCTTCTCTATGTGTGCATGTGGATGACTCAGCAGAATCAGCGCAGCCAAAAAGCAGCACTGATGTCCTCGTTTTGCTCCCTAATACCCAGAAAGCTTAACCGAAGCACGGATTGGGTGGTGCTGCTTCATCTCCGCACCACAGCTCCCGACAGCGCTATTCGTCTAGGGCGCTCAGGTTCTAGTGGGGAAAACTAACAGAATCACCACGAAGCACTGAGGGCCGGGATAACGAGCAGGAGATACATACACAGCTGTCCAAGCTCCTTTCTGGACATCAGTGAGGATTCTGTGACAAATGTGATCGATAAAATATGAAAAATTAAGCTCTGTCCCCATAACCAGAAAGCGTCTGACGTCTCTGATTAAATTAAAAATACAAATGGATACAACACATTCCACTTGCAGAAGTGATTAAGTGCTTTTGGCAAAATGAGGGAAAACTGTGCTGGACCAAAAACCGTTTTGCTTTGTCCGTTTACCGTTCTGTTGCTGCTGCTGCGTCTGAAGCTGAGTGGGCTGCTGAACTGGAGGAGGTGGAGCCGGATCCGGCTGCTGAGGCTGTAGCGGTCTGGTCCGAGTCGGAATCGCTAAGAGTAAAAAGTCACAAAATAGATCTATACATCTATGCTTTTGCATTCCCTGTGTTAAAAAAAAAGAAGTTTTATTCCAATCACTTGATTCAAACCAAAACTTAAATTATGTGACAAAAAAAAGAAAAAAAGAGGTACACCTGCACTTTCAAGTGGTCCGACAACATTTTGAGCCACAAGTTATCCATGTGCAACACGTTAAAACTTTACAACGACTCTTTAAAACACAGTTTGAGGTGCGGTTAAGTATTTCCACTAGTTATACATAAATGCAGTTTAACAGTCTGACGCAAACCTCTGTTGTCCTTGGAAGGCGTTTCATTTTTAGTAGGTGCTATCGTCCGCCGGTTCTGTAAAAAAATAAAATAAATAAATTAGATACTCCAAAACAAGACTACACAAAATTATCCAAATGACACTTGGATATCCACAAAAAAGTGTTGTTAGGCCCTGCAACAGTGACTGCAAAAAGAGTATTTTAACAGAAAATAAGAATATTTTGTACTAAAGTTGTTGTTTTTTTTGTTTATTAGTTGAAGTAGGTGTTACAATATTTACCTTTGCAATTTTGTTGACTTTCACAGATGTGGGTGTGGGAGGGGGAGGAGTCTCTGGGCTGGGGGCAATCTCCTCATCTGGTGCTACGTCTGGATTAAGTGCAAAAATACTCTCCAAGTCGATCTATAGTACAAACCCCCCCACCCCAAAAAAAACAGTACATGTTTAACCTAGATGAGCGCATGCCAATTATTCAAATTTTTTTGAGAGTTTACAATAAAACAATACACATAAAAGCACAAAAGTAGAACTAAAATTAAAACTAAGCCAAATATAAGAAGTGGACCTCAGTGTGAGTCGTGTCTCTAATCGGAGGGTAGAAAAATAAAACATCTGATGTGTTTGGACACATTTCCACAGACATAACAAACCCTTCTCTTTACAGAATACGCACATGAATACTAACATGAATACTAACATACTCAACTACTTTATTTGCATGGATTGATATAATTTAACTTTTTTTTTTAGAGTTAAATGGTTATGAAAAAGAGGAATAAACAGGAGAAACAAAAGACAAACACAATAAAAATGTTAGCTGTGAAATTACACTTAAATGACCACATTTTTCAAAGCGCTAGAAACGTTTTCCCTGCGATAAACATCACGGGTACTTGACGAACGGAGAACAGCCGTCCAGCTAAAAACGACGGACCTGTAACTTAAAAAAAATAAAAACAGGATTTGCAGGTTTACACGCAGAAGGTGACGTCCGGAGGGATCTCAGGATATGCAAGAAAGTTGCATAATCCTGGCAGCACTGGAATGCCTCAGGATGCATTATTCATCGCAATGGAAAGTAACAGCAGCAACATGCTGCTGCTGCTGCTGCTGGGGACACGGCTCTGAAAGGCAATAAATGGCTGGTAAAGTGGTGCTTTTACCTCCTTCCCTTTTGTGTCCCCGTTTTCTATCCATTCCACCGTGACGCTCTCGTTGTCCTCATTCATAGACGTCACCATTGCCTGATGTATACGTCCTGGGAAAAATGGGAAAGAACGTAACAATCATAAGACAAAGTCAGGCTTAAGGTTTAAGCTGCGTTAAAGGTAAAGCATTTACCCGCATTTCCTTTGGTGTCAAATATTATTATAAATCTACACTAAAGTTTAATTTAGTGGATAGATGTGCTACTGCGAATTTTATTACCGGGAAAGTCGAAGTTGCGGACAGCGAAAAGTAACGAGAGAGAGAAGTGAAACTAATTTAATCCCGAGACAAGCTTGATAATTATTTTTAACCCAATATAAGACAGCGGAGTGCGTTTTATGCGCGGCGGGCCGCTGTCATGTGAGAGCAGGAAAACAAGCTGGGGCTAATTTCAGTTCTTTCAGCTTATGAGTGTCTGATTAACAACAATTAGAGCCACAGATAACGGAGCAGAGCCCAGCTGCTGCCGGGCCACGGGCTTCTCTCCGCCCCCTCTGTCTGTCTGCGGCGGAACAGGAACAGCTGTAAGGAGCCGCTTTGCTCCTCGCCTCTGTGGATTTGACGGCTGTAAGCTGCCCTCTCTCAGCCCCCGGGAAACACCGTGTTCCAGTATTTATTATTCAGATAAAGCTCAGAAGCCGGCGAGCGAAGATGTTTTCGGTGTTCCCAACTCTTGTAGGTCCGACTGATTTAACATGCCCTCGTTTTTTCCCCCTCTCAAAACAGTAAGAAAAAAACAAAAAAATCAAAATTGATCTACTTGTAAACCCCCCCCCCCCCGTTTCCGTTTACTGGGGACTAGAAATCCGCTTTCTAAATACAATTCCTGCATTTTCAACATATGATTGAAACAAACCGCGGAAGATGCGAGTAACCTTAACAGGAGGTTCCACCTTAAATGATATTTTGCTACTTTTCCAGCCTCGGCAACAACGATATGCGATTGCTTTCTTTCCGTCTCTGCCTGGAACACTTTCACTGAATAACACACACCTTCCTAAAACTTTGAACGTAGTGAAAACTAAGTGTGCGGTAGTGAGGACCAGCAGACCTGCTTGAAATATAACCTTGAGTAACGTAAACTTTTAATAAGTATAACAAATAATAATAAGCACAGCAAAATAAAAACATCATCAAGTTGAGCAGTCTCAGAAGTCTCGCCAGAGGTTTTCGCTCATGCCTTCATCTCACATGTTCAGACTCCTGTAATTCTCTGAATACAAACATTGATTAGTCTTTTTTTTTTTTTTTTTTAATGAGGCAACTTACAGGAAGTAAGAATATATAAATCCCGTGCTGGACTCGCTCCACCCGCTTCCTGTTCGCTGCAGGATTGATTAGGATTTTATTGTCGTTTTAAAGGTTCCTAATTGTCTGGCCCCATATTATCGGCAGGATCTTTACAACAACAAGTCGACTCTGTAACACCGAGGTCAAACTTTTGACTTGGCAGTAGCTTGAATCGGCATTTCATTTTCTGTATCGTTTTGTATTTATCCCTCTCTTTTATGTAATAAATATGTTAAGTTTTATTCTCAGATTTGTCCCTCAGTTTTTTTTATTGTTACATAAAGTAGTAATTTTGGTTTTTGTTTGCTCCTGGTTGTGTTCTATCATCACTGATTAGCACTTTGATGCACTTTTTCTATATGACGTGTTTTATAAAGTTGACATCGACTTAAATACTCAGATTTTTCATCTTTGCTTTTGCCAAGGTCACCTGGAAGAGGAGGCGGTTCAGCTGACCTAGATGTTTAATACTTCGAAGCGTTTTTCAACAATTAGCCACAGAGATGCCTGAAAACGGATGAGTTTGGCAAAAGGTGAAAAAAGTTTAAAGAGAGAGAAATAAAAACAGATCAACTCACTCAGCTTTGCAGTTTTACAATATAAAATAAATACTTGTTGCCTGGTTCTTTCTCCAAAGCCGTTTCTAACCATGATTTTGTTTATTTTCTTCTGTAAATCAGACCATATATCTATAATATCGATGCATTTTATTACCAATGATGGCGAGTGTTCTGTCATAGTATTTACTGCAAAATGTATGCATTAAAATCTAAAACACTTTAACCAATATATGATGCTACCCTTTGGGTTAGATAGATGAGAAGTTTATTTAAATAAATTTCCCACAAATCAATGCGTCTCCTCCAAACTCAGCACATGTTTGAACAGCCATCAAGACGAGCTACCCTTACTCTATGTGACAGGACTTCATCTTTGTTAAACAAAAAAACAGGGTCGACTTTACTTCGTTTATAATAAAAGTTCTACATGTTTAAGACAGACACAATGTGTACATAAAGCTAATCCAAAGCCTGGTGATTGTCATAACAAACATTTAGAAGAAAACTTAACTCTGCTGCACTCAAGATGTCTGTGTAACCTGTTAGCAGAAATGTGTAAGTATTTTTATTTTTTTTTAACTCATAAATCTGTAGTGAGTGAAAAACATTTCGTCTTCAAACACATGCCTTCCAGTGAACCTACCGCCAGGATGCACAATATATTACCATTTACATTGGTGTTGGCCGATATGAGTCCCTTTTTAACATATTGTTTCTATAACTACAGGTGAGGGCAGGAGAAAAGATTGACCAGTAAAAACAGGATCATTTCTTCTTTCTCCTTAGAATGCAAGAACAAAACAACGTTGCTCATTTTGTTCTTCTCGTCTCATTATTTTTAGTATGGCTACGACCCCAAATATTGTTATATTTATGCATGTGTGTGTTCAAGGGCGCTCCTTCTGTTATTGTGTATTGTTAATGAAACAAAAAAAATGAAGAGACTAAAGAAATTCTAATACAAATATTAAGAGGAAGACAATATAACCACAAAAAATGTAGTGAATACACGCAGAATTAGTTTGAAAAGTAGATACATAAAGCATTTGATCTATAACCAGTGACGTCGTTTTTCCACCTTTGTGATCTGATTGTATATCGGTGCTGCTTTATTATTCATCTGGTCACCATGTGAAGAGCATCAAGCGCACAGCGTATGCTCTTTGAGCGACACTGTACACCTGCATGCTCCGGACACGCGGCCGGGAAGCAGCACATGATGAATTTTAAAATCTTCAACCTGTTTCTATCTACGCTGAAGACGCAGAGTTTGAATATAATCAAACCCTTTAAAATACATGTATTTCCTGTGACTAAGAAAACTGAAAATAATGGTGCCGGTTAATTAGTTTTGTTATTCTGCTCTAACTTGTCCCTTATTTGTAACTAAATCTACCCATTCAAAAACTTTTTTTTTTGCATCTCTTTTGAAGATAGTTTGTTGATATGAGTTGCAGAGTCATTTTTATTTTGTGCATTAGTGTCATTTCTATTCATTTTAAGAGAAAATGAATGTATTCCATTTGTACTGAGTACAAATGGTGCTTATTTGTATTCTGTACAGCTTCTGGGAAGCATCTGAGCTCCAGCAATGTGACATAGATTTTTTTTTTTTAAGTTTGGCAACGATGGACAAAGTTGTTATTTTATAAAGATAAATCACACGGCCTAGTCGATGTTCCACTACGGAGCTGGAATGGAAACAACGATATATCTGCCAGGACACAGAACTGCTGCTGGGAATCAGTGCCAGCCAGACAGACTTGATGAGCCCAGCGGTACCAGCTAGCACCGCGGTACCTGCAGTGTTCATTCCAGTCGACGGGAAGAAATAAAACCGAAAGATCACATCCCCGCGTAGCCACCGACACAAAAGGTATTCAGGTGAACTCTGAGTTCAGAGCTCACTAAGATGAATTTGTACACAAGGTGATATTATCAAAATATGCCGTCTACAATTGCTGCACGTCTTCCTTTATCTGATTTTCATCAAATTGGGAAAAAAAAAGTGCTTAAAAGTGCAAGCTGTTTGCTGATGTGTTTACAGACTGAAAATTAAAATAATAATAAAAGAATGGCCAATACTTGATAAGATCATGTAATGTATTTTAACATTGATTTAAGAAAAAAAAAAAAAAAAATATATATATATATATATATATATATATATATATGTATAAACCAACTAATGGCATCCCTGTTTTTTTAAATGTTTTTTTTTTTTTTTCCCCCAGTCTTACTTATATGAGGAATCATCATGAGATGGAAAATAAAGTAGGGGTGGATAAGCGAGAGTCCTGGCAGAAACAGGAACAGATGGGGTGGTGGCTAATGGCCTGAATCTGGCTCTAGTCTGGACCAGCCCTGCCACAAACCCTCAGAGAGAGGGCAATCCCTGCTCTGGACACAACGGCTACTAGCAGAAAGCAGTCAAATATACTACCCCTTCTCTTCAAAAACCTATCAGAAAAGAGAAAATGTCTTAGATGAATGAGGAAATAAAGACTTCAATTATTAAAACAAAGTTTGCCGGGGTGTTCCGTTCACTGACTGCATCAAGTTTTTGTTTGATTTCAGCTCGCTGTTGTGGCAAGACTTGGATCTCCTTATTTAAAAGAAACATCTTACTCAATGCGGCTTTTTAAAGGCACTGTCGTCACTTTTGATCTAGATGTTAAAAGCAGGTGTGTCCTGAGAATACGCCTGTCTATTGTCTTGTCAGTGCTGAACATGGCATGACAACGTTTAGGGAATGCCATATTTTACTTTTGATCAGTAATGTTTCCAATAACAACGAATTCGCATGCTTACTGGATAATTTTTGACCTAAGACAAAACGTTAAATAAGTATGACACCCCAAAATGGGAGATAATTTTATAAAATAAGAGCTTAAGTTTGACTCCAGTAACTGATGAAGCCGGGAAACAGCCCAGTTAGCCGTTAGGCTAACAACTAGCTAATGCCGCTCTCAGCAACGGTAATAAGTTAGCAAGCCTAGCTTGCCTAAATATAAATATTCGTCAAAATACATTAGTATGGTTCTAAAAATACACGTAATTTACAGATATATTATGATTTTTTTTATTTCTTCTACTGATGTTATTAAACGATAACATTTTACAGGTGCGGCAAAAATGTCCTAAATTGATCCAGACGTTTGCTAACAAAGATAAGCCTACTCCATTCAAATGCCAAGGCCGAGCTGAAACTCGCCGCCCAACCTGTCCTGCCTGCTTATGTCTCCGTCTGGATGTGGCTAATGCTAAAGCAAACGTTAGGCTCTGCGGCCGAGGCTGGGGAACAACGGTTGCTATATTCAACAGACCCACAGCAACAAAGATCCCCAAACAACTAAGTCCGACAAGAAGAAGAAAAAAAAGAGCGGACAGAGTGACAACTTACCATCACTCCGCTTAATCTCCACGTAAGTACCGACGACTATCTTCCCAAAGCCTGACGCCATTCTACATCACTTTAAAATAACAAACACAAGACTACAGACTTAATGTAAGCCGGGAGAATGCAGCGCCTTTCGGTGTTTTAGGTTTGGGAGGAAGATGCAGGGGCAGATTACGTAGCTACCAGGACTGCTTCCATTATTTCCGGTCCGGTATTTCAAAATAAAACTCACATCAGAATTGGTCTCTGTTCTAATGATTGTAGAATTTTCACTTTTGACACTGCGTAACAACAAACTACAGCGTATATTATCGGATTTTATATAACATACCATCACAAGGTAGATTAGCCAGTTTTTTAAACAAGGGAGATCATTGATCAGAAAAGCACCAAAGAAGTCTGCAGTAAATCTGAAGGAGCTGCAAAGAAACAACTAAAGTAGGCGAATATTCAGGCTTGGGCCCTATAACTTTGACTTTTATGAAAGAATGACAAGATTGTTGAATTGTTTAAAAATGTTTATTTAGCTCAAAGCATATTTGTATATTAGAATGGCCCTATCAAAGTCCTAAATTTAGCTGAGAATGCAGTACTTGAAATTCAATATTCACAGATCTTCCAATCTCTTGAGATATTTTGTAAACAAGAATGGGTAAAAGTCTCAGTCTCCAAATATGGTAGATATATACTCCTAAAATGTCCATGCAAAGCATTGACTCAGAGCAGAATGCAAAGCACATCACACTTTTCAGATTTTTTTATTTAAGAAAAGGTTAAAGCCACAAACACTGTCAATTTTGCAGTTATGTACAACACTGTGTTTGCCTATCACAAAACATCCAGTTAAATAGTCTGTAGTTTGCAATAATGCTACAATATGATGCTTCTCATATTGTCACTACAGACAAGAAGTCCTGTTCAGATGTGGAGAGTTGGAGGATAGTGATGAGGTCATTGCAGAGATGAAAATTTAGTTGTTTTCAGAAATAACAAGTCAGTGGAAAATGAACATCTTCTCACTCACCAACCAAAGCACAGTGGATTAATTATAAGAAACACTGTCCCATTTTAAATAAGAACATTATGTTTAATTACTCACACACATACACCCTTGCAATACCCACAACATATCTCTGTAACTTCTACACTTGTTCATATAGATTATTATTCTTTATGTTGATCCTACCTCAGTCCAGTATTCAGCAACACAGTCAGCAGACGATCTAGACAGCAGTTTAGCAACAAAGACTCCGGACCTGACCGACTCATGTCTTCATCCATATGCCTCTGCACGTACTTGCTTAAGGATTCCAGTATTTCTATGAATAGTGTTTTGTCAGAGCATGGACAGCCAACAGAAGTTGTTATGGATCAGATTCTCACCATACATATGTCACCAACTTATTTATGTGATGAAAATACAGTTTTTAATGTCAGATATCTTGTGCTCCTCTAATGTCTCCCACAAATTTATAACAAATGGACAGTTAGCTTGAAAATAGCTTAGAAGAAATTTTTATTGAAAAAAATAAAATAAAATAAAAAATAAACAGAACCGGATTTAGTTTATGGAAGGATCATGCCAACAGAAATTATGTGATCTGGAAAAATAAAGTTGGTAATACTCGCAGGTTTCTCAGAGGGGAAGCCTTCTTCTACTTCCACTTTCTTATGAAAAAGCTAGATAATGTCAATTCCACTTGTTTATCACATATGGATACAATACTTGGTTATGAACTGAAGAAATGAACAGCGAACCTCACATTGACATTTCTTTATCCCTTATGAAGCTGTAGTTAATGTGTGACTGAATAAGGAAGAATGGGAGAAAATACCAATGAGAAGAGTATTTCCGGATAATTTTAGTCTAAACTCATGCTAGAAGAATAGGCATTAAGCTCCCTCTAGTGGTGGCTAATAGCAGATTCAATGCATAAGATGTAAAAGAAAAAGGTGTATCTTAAATTTGTGTTGTCAATAAAAAGTACTTTTATTCAATGACTGAAAAGTTTCTAACCAAAAAACCTCGTGCACATTTTAAACATGTTGAGAGGATATTAGTTCAACCTACTGCGTTACATTAAACATGGTGAGTACAGTAGCTCCGAGCTGCGTCTTTAACGTTCTTCATTAAGGCAGTTGCAAATTTCATGCGGTCATTCATTGTCTATACCAGGGTTGTCAAACTCAATTTTACCGAGGGCCACTTCAGCATATTGGCCACCCTCAATGGGCC